TCCCTGTGAGACTCTTTAATTAGCCACTCAAAACCTGGACAAAGTGGTAGACCGCTACCTTTGAGCAAATGAGCTCAGGGACAGTGCCCAGGCCCTGAGTTCAAGCCCTATGACTGACAGAAAAGAAAAAAAAAAGGCATCAGCCACTTGACTCAAGTTTTTCACATATGAATGTGTCGTTTTTGTTGTTTTCTTACCACAAGACTAGTAACCTCCCTTATCTCTTCCATCTTTTACCCATCAGTAATATCTCAAACTTTCTTTAATCACAACTTACATACTATTATTGTTACACATTTAAATTATATATTGTTAAATCCTACAATACATTTCATGCAGAAATTTCTTGAGATATTCTAAGTTTTACTGCAAGAACAAGAAGATGGAGGGGAAAGACAGAAATACTTAGCTTCCTGCCAAACCAACAAGAACAATTTAAACACTCCTAAATGTATATTAAAACTTTTAACTTGGGCTGAGAATGTGGCTTAGTGGTAGAGTGCTTGCCTAGCATGTATTAAGCCCTGCCTGTGTTTGATTCCTCAGTACCACATAAATAGAATAAGCCACAAATGACACTGTGGCTCAAGTGGAAGAGTGCTAGCCTTGAGCAAAAGCAGCACAGGGACACAGTGCCCAGGCCCTGAGTTCAAGCCCCAAGCTTAGCAACAAACAAAACAAAAAACTAACTTAGAACTTCCCGTAGGTGAGTGGGGGAACTCACACCTGTAATCCTAGTTACCTAAGGAAGCTAAGGCTGAGGTACCAGAATCTTGGTTTGAAGCACCCAGGGTAAGAAACTCTGTAACTCTATAATTAACCACCAAAACATTGGAAGTAGAATTGTGGCATAAATAGTAAAGAGCTAGCCTTGAGCAATAAAGCTCAGGGACAGCACCCAGGATACACATACACAAAAAAAACTCCTATGCACAACATTGGCTTATTGGCTTACACACCAGCCAATCCTGAAGCAATAATCTTCTGTATGAACTAGGTGTTGATCTAAGGTGCCTGTAAGCTTACTGGACTTCTTTGCTCACCACTTGATCCACATCTTAAGCTTTTTTGCTGGTTATTTTGGAGCTAACCTTGGTTCTTCAGATTTTAGCCTTCTGAGAAGCTAGGATTGTGGACATGAAGGCACAGACCTCTAGCTAAAAATCTGTAATGATTAAATAACTCCATCACTTAGCTTTTACAATTAATTTCAACTTATATATCGAGAGAGGTCTCAGTATGTTAGCCCAGGCTAGCCTCAAATTCCATATTCTCTAGCTTCTGCCTTCTAAATGCTGGAATTACAGACATGCCCCACCATACCAGGTACTATTAACTCTTGGTAATTTTACTATATGTACACTTACCTTTCTATCTCCAGTTCATTCTTTTCCTAAGTGTCTCACTGTGTAGGCTAGGCTGCTCTAGAACTCTCAACCCTTCTGTCTCAGTCCCTAGACTTTTTTTTTTTTTGTCGGTCCTGGGGCCTGAATTCTGGGCCTGGGTGCTGTCCTTCAACTCGTTAGCTCAAGGCTAGCACGCTACCATTTGAGCTACAGCGCCACTTCCAGCTTTTTCTGCTTATGTGGTGCTGAGGAATCAAACCCAGGGCCTCATGCATGTAAGGCAAGCACTCTGCTACTAAGCCACCTTCTCTTCCCAGTCCTCGGTCTCTAGACTTCTGAATTATATGTGTGACATTATACCCAATTTTTGTTTTATATTTCCAAAACTGGGTGAATAGTACACTTTGCCTTTAGACCCTTCAGCATGCATATCATTATGACTGTTGTTATTTGAGGCCTCCTTCAATACTGTGAAAGGGTCCTACCACCTCAGCTGCCTGGGGAGAAGTTGGAATCATAGGTTTCTTCTAATTTACCTGGCTCAGAATGCATTATTATTATTGTGTGTGTGTCAGGATCTGGGCACTGTCCTGAACTTTCTGCTCAAGGCTTGGGTGCTGCCACTTGAGCTACACCTCCACTTTCAGCTTTTTTAGTAGCTAACTGGAAATAAGTCTCACAGACTTTCCTGTGCTTGGTTTGAACTTTATAATCTTCAGATCTCAGCCTCTAGAATAGTTAGGATTGCAGGCATAAACCACAGGTCCCAGGCACTGTCCTGAAGTTTTGCGTACAAAAACAGGCTTGCTTGGCAGTTTCCAAAGGTTTCATTGTTCTATTTTCATACTTGCTGCCGACAATCTATTTTGAAAACATCCATCCTATTTCACCTTTTGAAGTCCCTCTTAATTGTATGAAATTCTCAGTAGATAAAACCATTATCTTTAAAAATAAAAACAAGTTCTGGTTTTATAGCTATGTATGTTGGACTAATAAACTCACATAGCCAGACTGAACTTCCAGAATTACTCTATTTTATTTGCTGCTGTTTTTAGGCTTGAATTCAGGGACTGGGTGTGATCGTTGAGCTTTTGTGCTTTACCACTTAGCTTCACTTCCAGTCCTTTTGGTGGGATAACTGGAGATAAGAGTCTGATAAAATTTCTGCCTGGGCTGGTTTTGAACCACAATCCTCAGATCTGTGTTTCCTGGGTAGCAAGGCTTACAGGCATGAGCCACTGGCTCCTGGCTCTATGTTTATGCCAATAATGGGGTTTGGTCTTAGGGCGTGTTGTCCCTGAGCTCTTTTTCTCAATGCTAGCACTCTACCACTTGAGCCACAGCATCACTTTGAGTTTTGTGATTAATTGTAGATAAAAGCCTCAGACTTTTCCTGCTAGCCTTAAAACAGAATCCTCAGATTTCAGCCTCCTGAGTAGCTAGGATTACAAGCATGAACTACCAGCACCCACCTGAGTTTTATTTTTTTTGCCAGTCCTGGGGTTTGGGCTCAGGGCCTGTGTGCTGTCCCTGAGGTTTTTTTTGTTGTTGTTGTTGTTGCTCATAGCGAGCACTCTACCACTTGAGCCACACACCATTTTGAGCTTTTTCTGAGTAGTTTATTGAAAGAAAAGTCTCACAGACCTTTCGGCCCCCAGCTGGCTTTGAACTGTGATCTTCAAATCTTAGCCTTTGTAGCTAGAATTCTTCACTTTTTTTTTTTTTTTTTTAATAGTCTGGGCATTAGTGGTTCAAGCGTGAGGCTAAGATTTGAGGATCAGGCACACCAACAAACTTACTAAAGAATGATAAATGTAGAAGAGCCCAAAGGGGTAACTCCTCTGAACATCTAAAGTACTATTTATCAAAACGAAATGGCAACATGTTTGGTTTTGTGGGGTTTTTGGTGGGGGGGGGCAAAAGGGGCAACAGGAATGGAGGAAGGGTGAACAATGCAGTCATATTCAACATACACTATGTAAAAAATGAATTATGCAACTTATGGGTAGGAATGGGAGGGAAAAATGGGGAAAAGGGAAGGAGGTGTGACATTGTCTAAGAACCATGGTACTTACTACCTGACTTATGGAACTGTAACCTCTTTGCACAATGCCTAAGTAACAATTTTTAAAATATAGGAGAGAGCCAGGCACTAGTCTCACACCTGTAATTCTGGCTATTCAGGAGACTGAGACTTAGCTCTAACCATCTAAAGGTAAGAAGTCGAGCCCTGGCTCAAGTGGTTGAGTGCTAGCCTTGAGCAAAAAAAAAAAAAACACCTCAGGGACAGTGCCCAGGCCCCGAGTTCAAGCTTCAGGTCCTGCACTGGAAAAAAAAAAATAGTGGGGTGAGCTTCTCAGGAGGCTGAGATCTGAGGATCGCGGTTCAAAGCCAGCCCAGGCTGGAAATTGATGAGACTCTTAACCTCCAATTAACCCCCAGAAAACCGGAAGTGGCGCTGTGGCTTAAGCAGAACACTAGCCTTGAGCAGAAGAGCTCAGGGGCAGTGCTTAGGCTGAGTTCGAGCCCCACTACCGATCAACCGCCCTCCTCCCTTTTTTATTTTTTGGTTACTGCCCACAATCCAATTACCTCTCATTTTCTACTCATGGCCTTTCACCAAACATTCTTTCCTAGTTCCATGCCCGTTAAATTGTCCTCCTGTGGCCTGAACGTCCTTTCCTCTCTCATCATAGTCTACTTATTATAAGAAAGGTCGCGAAGAACTCAATCAGGATTGCTTACAAGCCTTTGCTGTCCAGGAGATGAAATACCCCGTTCATAACTCCACTATGGCCAGCATCATCCTGTCAAATCTTTCCTGTCCGTAATAACCGCAGGCCTTTCTTGACAGACTTAATTGAACACGTGCCGGATGGCAGATCCCGTACCCGGCACCAAGGATGCATTCCTATGCACAAGCAAAGTACTAACTCGGCGCTGGTGGTGGCGAGAGATTGCCGAGTGGGTTGTTGCAGTAAGCCACTGAAAATGGCCCGGGCAGGGCTCGGCTATTAATCGGAGGCACATCGCCAGTGGTGTTTTCCGCGGGTGACGGCTCTGTTTCTTCTTTCCCGATTCGGCCCGGGGAGGAGGCGGGCGTCAGGACGGCGGGCGCCCGGTGCCCGGCGCCCGGCCGAGCTCCCAGGCGTGCTCACGAGCACCCTCGGGTGGTCTGGGGTCCGGGGCCCGCGGCGGCGGCGGCCACGCGGTCCGATCCCCCCCCCCCCCCCCCCCCCGCCCCGGCCCGGGCTACACTGGGCACCCCGGAGGGGCTCTGCCCCCGACACGCTTCTCACACTCGAGCTCCTCTCTCTGGCGGTAGCAAGACATACAGACCCGCCTGACGGCTGGCAACCGGCTCCGCGACGCCCCACCCGGAACAGCCGGACGCGCAGGAAAGGAAAAACAAGAACAACAAAAGAACCACCCGTCGCCGGCAGGGGTGTCTGACCCGCCGAGGCGGGCGGGCGGAAGGGGCGGGCGCGGCGGCGGCGGCGGCGGCGCGCATGCGCGGACCGGCCCCGCGGATTTCCCCCCCCCCCTCCGCACCTCGCGGCGGTTGGAGCGCGGACGTCCGGAGGGGGGCGGGGCTAGGCCGCCGAGCCGGAAGCGGGTTGGCTGGGCGGGGCCCGAGCGGCAGTGGCGGCGGCGGCGGAGGTGGCGGCTACGCGCGCGCGGGTGCGCGGGCGCGAACGGGAAAAGCCGCGAGGGTCGGGGCTGTGGAGACGACGGACGGCGACGATGGCCGCGACGGCGGGAGGCGGGCCGGGAGCGGCCGCGGGCTCGGCGGGCGCAGGGGGCGCGGCGGCGGCGGCGGCGGCCGCGGCGGCGGCGGCGGCGGGGCTGGCCATTTACCGGCGGAAGGACGGGGGTCCGGCTAGCAAGTTTTGGGAGAGCCCGGACACGGTGTCCCAGCTGGACTCGGTGCGGGTCTGGCTGGGCAAGCACTACAAGAAGGTGGGTTCCCGCGCGCGCCGCGGGAGGAGGCGGGGGGGGGGAGGTCGCGCGCCCGGTGCTGGCGGCGCCGGGGGTCGGAGGCGGCGGCGGCGGCGGCGGCGGCGGGCCTGGCGGGCCGCCCCTCCCCCCGCGCGCCACGAGGGACAACAAAAGGCCGGCGCCGGGCTCGCCACGCCCCCGCGGGCCGCTCGGAGGCGGCGGCGGCGGCGGCGGGGGGGGGGCGGCGGCGGCGGGGGGGGGGCGGCGGCGGCGGCCGGGGTCCTCGGCCCCGCGTCCCCCCCCCCTCCCCCCCGCTTCCCCGCGAGCCCACGCACGTGGGTGGGCAGCCCTCGGCCCGCGCGACCCCGCGGGTGCCGGCGGAGCCCGGCCCACCCGCCGGCCGTGAGTCCTGTTTCCTCTTTTGTTTAACCCGCGGGGAAGTGAGCGGTTCCAAGGCAAGAAAAAAACAATTAAAACAAAAACGCAGATTTTGTGTCGGGGCTCGCAGGTCTTTAGCTTTACACTCAGGCTTCTGCTACCCGTCGTTTTGTGGCAGGAACTGCGGACGCAGGGCTCCTGGAAGTGGATCGCGGTAGGATTCTGTTAGGCTGATGGGTCAGTGTTGCTTAGGAGTGCAGACCTACTGCACACACACACACACACACACACACACACACATATACATATATATATACACACACACGCATATATGTTATATATGTGCGTATATATGTGTGTGTATGTATATATATAATTTTTTTTTTTAAGGATGGTTTTTACTTCATTGCAACTTTTGGATGATGTGTGTGGCCCCAGCACAAGAGTTAATGATGCCCGTGGAGGCCTTCCCTGAGAACCCGGTGTATAAATGTGTGTATATATATATATATATATATATTATTATTTTTTTTTTTTTTTTTTACTAGAGCACCTTTCTTTATTCGTAACATTTACCCCTTTGGTGAAATTGGTGAAATTTCTTCATTTATACAAATTCTGCTGAATCAGTGTTTTTTAAGCTTAGCTTATTAACCGTTTGTGTTTAAAATCAGTGTGGGGTGGGCGTGTGTCCGCCCGGCCCCTGTGTTGCTACTTGAGTGTTCAGACCGGGCCTCTAGCTTAGTAGGAAGCTGGACTGGTGCTCTAGTGCTGGAGCCTACTCCACTAAGTTCTCTTTGGGTAAACGTGCAGAAGCGAGACCTTCGGGTGATTTATTGAAGCAGATAAGTCAGAAAGACTGCCCCCTCCTAAATTTGGGGAGCATTATTTGGTGGTGTGCCATTGAACTACTGGGGTAAATAAAGGCTGGGTCACTATGTTGTTCTGGAAGGAGGGTGGTACTTAATGCCTTGCCTCTAGTAAATATTTGTTAATTAATGAAAAGATAAACTTGTCTAAGAACTTCCTTACTTAGGGTGTACAACTCTGTGAAGTGTTAGTGTTTGATAGTTGTTAATCAAGGCCAGGCTTGTTGGGTACTTTTGATTATACATTTTTAGGTGCTTTTCATGCTCTTTTCCTCCCTCCCCACCCCCAAGTCACATTTGAGCTGTAGATTTTTCTTATCTCCAGTGCAATAAATATTGCTCCTTATACAGTGAAAAACTGGTCGCTTTTTGGTGTGTAGGCAATAGCTGGAAATGGCTAAGGGAATCAAATGCTATGAAAATATTTGTTAATTCTAATAAACTACATCGTCTTAAGACAATACTTTGGGTCTTTGTTATTGTTATTTGGGCCTTAAATTCAGTGAAGCTTTTCGGCTTGAACTCAGAACTCGAGGCCTTATACTCTTGTTTGACCTTTTTTTTTTTAAATGTTCTAGGCTGTTGATCTACCAGCTTGATCCATGCCTTTGCTTCCAACTTTCTGGTAGTTAATTGGAGATGAGAGTCTGTCATGATGCATCTGGCACATCATGGGTTTGAACCGTGATCCTCAGTTCTCAGCTACCTGAGCAGTTAGGATGACAGACATGAGCTGCCAGTGCCTGCTTGGCACTCCAATTGAGCCCTGGTCCTACCCCTTTCTGCTTTAGTTAGTTATTTTTCAGATAGGATCTTTTTTTTTTTTTCTTTGTGTGGGCTAGCCTTGTACTTCAACCCTCCTCCTCCTCTTCCTTGCCTCCTTTTCAGCTAGGATGACAAAAGTATGCATCACCACACTCAGCTTTTTGTGTTGTTATTCTTGAGATGGGCTTTATACTGACTTTTTTGCCTTGTTTGCTTTGAACCTTGGTCCTCCCTTTTCTTTCTCCTAGTAGCCAGAATTACAGGTGTAAGCCACAGGGCCTTAGCTGAACTATTTTAAGTATGTACAGGGATTTTAAATTCCCTTCGAGCAGAGAATATATCTCATACATCTGTAAGTTTGTCACAGTTACAGCAAACTTTTCTCCTGTAATGATTATGCTAGGTTTTGAGTCTCTGTCTTTATCTTCCAGTATGTTCATGCAGATGCTCCTACCAATAAAACACTGGCTGGATTGGTAGTACAGCTTCTCCAGTTCCAGGAAGATGCCTTTGGAAAGCATGTCACCAACCCGGCCTTCACCAAACTCCCTGTAAGTACATCAGCTTATTCCAAGGCCATCTTCAGTTTCTGTACTCTTGGATGCAGCTGGTGGCTGAATTACCTTGCTGCCTAAGAGAGTCAGCTAAGCTGGGTGCCAGTGGTCATCCTAGCTACTCAGGAGGCTGAGATCTGAGGGTGGTGGTTCAAAACCAGCCTGGGCAGGAAAGTTTGTGAAACTCCGTATCTCCAATTAACCACCAGAAAACTGGAAGTAGAGCTGTGGCTCAAGTGCTGGCCTTGATCTGAAGAGCTCAGGCGCCAGGCCCAGAGTTCAAGCCCCACAACCAACAAAAAAGAGAGAGAGTCAGCTAAAGGATATTGTTTTTTTTTTTTTCCTTAATTTATTTTTGTGATGGTAATAGAGCTTGAACTCAGAGCTTTCTGCTCTTACTGGGCTTGTTTGCCCACAACTAACTAACCTCCAGCCTAGCTATTTTTTTATGGTCTTTTTGGGTCTTGAACTTGGGCTGCGAGTTATCCCTGGGTTTTTGTGCTCAAGGCTAGTGCTCTACTACTCGAACCACAATTGTACATCCAGCTTTTTGTCAGTAATTGGAAATAAGAGTCTCACAGACTTTGTCTCCAGGCTAGCTTTGAACTTGGATCCTCAGATCTTCAGCCTTCAGGAGTGAGCCACCAGTGACCAGATCAGCCTAGCTTTTTGCTGGTTATTTTGGACATGCAGTCTTGACAATTTCTCTGCTTGGACTGGCTTCAAACTGTGATCCTCTCTGGTTTTCAACTTCCTGAGTATCTAGGATTATAGGCATGGGCCACTGGCACCCTGCTGAAAAATAGGCTTGTGTGTATGTGTGTGTCCGTCCACACCTGTGTACACATCAGACCTGGAGTTTGAACTCAGGACCTCCATGCTGTCCCTGAGCTCTTTTTGCTCAAGGCTAGTGCTCTGATACTTGACCCACAACTCCACTGGCTATTCGGTAGTTAATTGGAGATTAGAGTCTCGCAGGCTTTCCTGCCTAGTCTTGTTTTGAGCTGCAATTCTTAGATCTCAGCCTCCTGAGTAGCTAGGTTTATAGGCATGAGCCACTGACACCCTGCTGAAAAAAAATGTTTTTTATGAAGAAGATGCTCTCACACTAGTCTCAAAACTTGTGGATCCTTCTGCCTCATCCTTCCTAGTGTTGGGATTACAGGTATAAATGCCTAGCTTGCTTATTTTTATTAGTGAGAACTACTCAGTTGAGTAATCAGTTCAGCATACTTACTTAACAGCATTTTTTCTTTTGCTATCTGCTGAGGTTTTTTTTTACTTTCTTTTGTGGTGGGGAGGTGTTGAGTTGTGGGGCTTGAACTCAGGGCCTGGGCACTGTCTCTGTGCTTTTTTCCTCAAGGCTAGTGCTCTACCACTTTGAATGACAGTGCCACTTCCGGTTTTCTGGTGGTTAATTGGAGATAAGAGTCTCACTGACTTTTCTGCCCAGGCTGGCTTCAAACCACAATCCTCAGATTTCAGTCTCCTGAGTAGATAAGATTACAGGTGTGAGCATCTGGTGCCCAGCTTATTTTTCTAACTTTTCTTTATCATTCATTCTCTTTCTGTGTATATATACATATTTATTTTTTCTTAAATCATTTGAAAGGGGCATGTCTTTCTATTTTTAAATAATTGAGTGCTTATTTCCTATTATACTAAAAACTGGATTAAAATTCTCAAACTTACGTTTCTGTTTAAAGCATTGTAATGTAATATGTATTTGTTAAACTTTATCAAGTATAGCATACTAAAGTACACACATAATACTATAATTTACATAGCATGATTTCACATTAGGAATATGTTCATAATTAAAACCATGCAGGTGTCCCCAAGTATTTTCAGGGGGCTTTCTTCATAGGATATTTAACTCCTAGTAACTAAACCAATATTAACTTGCAGTGTTTAAGGATTAGAGAAGAATATTTTTAGGCATAAGCCATAATTAAAAATAATTCATGGCTTAGTGCCAGTAGGACCAGATGTACTTCCCTTCCTCTCAAAATAGGTTTCTACATTTTCCCAAATGAAAAGGATATCATGTTTAATGGTGTAAAATAAGATGGAAGGAGAGAGAAAATTAAGAAAAGCAAAGAATATTTTAGTGAAATATGTAACTTTGTTTTACAGAGTTCTTTTCCTCAATAAATAATACTAGTATAAGAGTAAATTACTTGGGCTGGGAAGGTGGCTCAGTGGTAGAGTGCTTACCTCACATGCATGAGGCTCTGGGCTCAATTCCTCAGCACCACATAAGCAGAAAAAGCCGGAAGTGGTGCTGTGGCTCAAGTGGTAGAGCCCTAGCTTTGAGCTGAAGAGCTCAAGAGACAGTGCCCAGTCCCAGAGTTCAGGCCCCACAACCAACAACAACAACAAAAGAGTTAATTATTTGGGCTGATTCATTAAAAATCAAAGTGGAGCTTCTTTTCTTTTCTCTTCTTTTCTTTTTTTGGTACATGGGGCTTGAACTCAGGCCTGGATGCTGTCTCTGAACTCTTGTGCTCAAGGCTAACACTCTACCACTTTGAGGCACGGCTGCACTACAGTTTCTTGGTGGTTAATTGGAGATAAGAGTCTCATGGCCTTTCCTGCCTATGCTGGCTTTGAACCTTAAACCAAGATCCTCAGATCTCAGCCTCCTGAGCTGCTAGGGTTACAAGTGTGACCCACCAGCATCCAGCTTAACAAGAAAAAGGATTTTGTTTTTGCCACTCCTAGGGCTTCAACTCAAGGCCTGGGTACTGTCCTTGAGCTTCATTTGCTCAAGGCTAACACTCTACCACTTGAGCCACAGCACCTCTTCTGGCTTTTTCTGTTTATGTGGTACTGAGGAAAATTGAGCCCAGGGCTTCATACATACTAGACAATCCATGTTCCCAGCTCTGAAAAAGATTATGTAAGGCTAAAAATATGTTGCATAGACACAACTGAGTTTTGTATTTCTGCTATACATAAAAACTCTTGGACTGAGGGTTTGGTACAAATGGTACACCTACAAGACCCCGAGTCAATCCTCAGTACAGCTCCCTCCCTCCTAAAAACAAAACAAAACTAATCTTCCCCTAATTTCTGCAAGGTGTGTGTGTGTGTGTGTGTGTGTGTGTGTGCGTGTGTGTGCGCGCGCGCGCGCGCGCGCGCGCGCGCGCGCACATAAGTATAAAAACACCATAGAATCATTTTTGTTTCCCTTTTAAAGTGGATATATTTAAGAAACAATAAAGCTAGCTAGGCGCTGGTGGCTCAGGCCTGTAATCCTAGCTACTCAGAAGAAGGTTGAGATCTGAGGATCATGGTTCAAAGCTAGCTGGGGCAGGAAAGTCCATGAGACTCTTATCTTCAGTTAACCACCAGAAAACTGGAAGTGGCGCTGTGACTCAATTGGTACAGCTGAAGAGCTGAGGGACAGCACCCAGGCCCATAGTTCAAGCCCCATGACCGACAACAGCATAAAGAAAGAAAGAAAGAAACAAACAAACAATAAAGCTTAAGTGAGACCTATATTACAGGATGGTGAATCTCAGTCTAGCAGGGGCAGAGAACTTTCAAGTATAAGGCCCACAAAACCATGTGTTAAGTGACAGGACAGATACATATGCCTCTTGTCAGCTGCCCACACAGCCCATCTGCTGATATTGATCATTTTATTTGGCCTGAGAATAGCACTATAAATATCCAGATGCCCCTTGGCAGAAAAAGTTTCCCTGCCCCTGAAAGTGAAGGAGGAATAAAGTAAGAAGTAAGTGATAAAGTGCTTGCCTAGTTTTTGCCAAGGCTCTGAGATTGATCTGTAGGACCACCAAAACAACAGCAACAAAAAGTGACAGAAGATTTGTTGAAGGATAGTTAGGGGAAAGGGAAGGGAGGGATGACAAAAAAAAATATATATGCTCATTAACTGACTTATGAACTGGTAATCCCTCTGTAAAACACCTTAGTGATAATAATAAAATTATATATATATATATATACACATTTGAAAAGTGATTAAAGACGTAATCCCAGCTACTCAGGAGGCTGAGATCTGAGGGTTGTGGTTCAAAGCCAGCCTGGACAGGAAAGTCCATGAGATTCATTTCCATTGAACCACCAAGAAAACCAAAAGTGGAGCTGTGACTCAAAGTGTTAGAGTTCAGGCCCTGAGTTCAACCCCACAACCAATCCCTCCACACACACACCACACACACACACACACACCCCGCCCAAAAAAACCCCACAAAAACTGGGTGCTGGTGGCTCATGCCAAAAAAAAAAGTGACTAAAGAGATTTAAAATGTGGTTAAGCAGTATCCCCTAAAGCATACCCTTATTGTAGTGCTGCGAAAATCAAACTTGGGGTCTTTTACATAGTAAGCAAACATTGTTTTTGTTGGTGGTGGTGGTTGTGGGGCTTGAACTCTGGGCTTGGGCACTGTCCCTGAGCTCTTCAGCTCAAGGTGAGCGCTCTACCACTTGAGCCATAGTGCCATTTCCAGCTTTCTGGTGGTTAATTAGAGATAAGAATTTCATGGACTTTCCTGCCTGGGCTGGCTTTGAGCTCGCCTTCTGAGTAGCTAGGATTACCGGCATGAGCCACTGGCTCCCAGCTCCTAAGCAAACATTCTTAAACTGAGCTACATCACATAGGCCGTGATATCCAAGTTTTTAAACTTGCCCTTAAGCTTTAAAAAGTTATTGAAGTTGTAATTAAAAGAAGTTTTCCCCCGTTGTATGAATTTTGAAATGAAGAGGCTACCTTGGGGAAAGTAGGCATAGAAAGAATATAGGTGGTGGTCTGTGCATTGAAAGTGAGACTTTCAGTTTGCAGATTACAACCCTAACGAGAACAATACAAGCAGTCATTTAAGTGAAATGGTGTCTAGATAATGAGTGTGCAGAAAATGAATAAAACAATTTTTATTTATTTTTGCCAGGCCTGGGGCTTATACTCTGGGTCTAGGTACTGTGCAGAGCTTTTGTACTCAAGGCTAGTGGTCTACCACTCGAGCCACAGCACCATTTCTGGCTTTTTTTGGCAGTTAATTGGAGATAAGTCTCTTGGACTTTCCTGCCCAGGCTAGTTACAAACTAGAATTCCTCAGCCTCCTGAGTAGGATTCTAGTTGTGAGCTATTGGTGCCCAGCTGAATAAAACACATTTTGACTAAATGAGAGAATACTTATTTAAATCCCATTCAGATCAAAATTTGAACATTGCTGGCCTAGAAATGTAGCTCAGTGGCAGGGCACTTTCTTAGGTTGTCAGCAAAACCTCTTTACCTCTCCCTTTCTCTTCTCTGACCCCATCCCAGAATTCAGACATTGCCAACAATCTAGAAAGTCTTCCATATCCCTTCCTCAAGCGTAAAGCCCATTTCCTCCAGGGATAAAATTTCCTTTTTATAGGTATCACTATGCTTTGTATTTATTCTTGAGTGGTATATAGAATGTATGCTTGCTTTATTTGAATGGGTCTACTCTTATATCTTGCTATAGCAGAAGTATTTCAAAACATGGAAAGAAAAATTGGACCAGATAAGATAGTCTACTTCAGCTGCCCAGACATATATTCCTGAATGTAAACCCAGGCTGGCCTTGATCTCAGGACTTTTGCCTCAGCCTCCTGAGTGCTTAGCTTACAGGGTTGTAACACTATTCCTGTTGGTTTGGTTTTTTTTGCCAGTCCTGGGCTTGAACTCTGGGCCTGGGCACTGTCCCTGAGCTCTTCAGCTCAAGACAAGCACTCTACCACTTGAGCCACAGTGCCACTTCTGGCTTTTTCTGCTTATGTGGTGCTGAGGAATTGAACCCAGGGCCTCATGCATGCAAGGCAAGCGCTCTACCACTGAGCCACCTTCCCAGCCCCACTATTCCTGTTTTGCTGTTTTCTTAGAAATTTGAAATTATGTAGTCATTTACGGTGGATTATTTTTAATTGTTTTTAAAGAAAAAATATGGCTAGCCAGTCAGTGGCTCACATCTGGAATCCTGACTACTCAGGAGATTGAGATCTGACAATCATGGTATAATGCCAGTCCAGGCAGACAAGTCTAAAAAATTATTGTTGTTATTGTATGTCTGCATGTATACATGCCTGTGTGCATCTTTTATGCATGCTTTGGTCTGAGGGCTTGGACTCAAGACCTGGGTGCTATCCTTGAGCTTTTTGCTCAAGGCTATTAATTACTCTACCTTACCACTTTTAGCTTTTTGGTAGTTAATTGAAGATAAGAATCTCAGAGACTTTATAGCCTAGCCTGGCTTTGACTTAGTCCTCAGATCTCAGCCTCTTGAGTAGCTAGGATTACAGGTATGAGCCACTGGTGACTGGCTATATGTTTTACGATATCAAAATTTAAAGTTACAATAAAGTAGAATTGATCATGAATCATTGATTTTTTTTCCCTTGGTGTTCTTTTTCAAATATTTTGTATCCTTTCATACACTATTTATTCACAATATTATGTTAATGGAATTTAAAAAGATGGCAGTAGCCCTGGTGCCAGTGGCTCACGTTTATAATCTAGCTACTCAAGAAGCTGAGATCTGTGGATCACAATTCAAAGCCAGCCTGGGCAAGAAACTCCCTGAGACTCTTATCTCCAATAAACCACTAGAAAACCTGAAGTGGCCCTGTGGCTGAAGTGGTAGAGCGCTCGCCTTGAGCTGAAGAGTGATGGGACATCGCCCAAGCCCAGAGTTCAAGCCCCACGACTGACCAAAAAAAATAAAAGATGGTAGTATCCATTTTTAGTAAAATTTCTTTGTACCTTAGTTTTTTCATGGAAGAAGCAGCAATCACTTAAGTCTTGCAGGTTTATAAAACTTAGAATTTAGACATGAGTAATTTTAGTAAGAGCCTTTATTTTTCTTACATGTAATTTGTATCATTTTAGGCAAAATGTTTCATGGATTTTAAAGCTGGAGGTACCTTGTGTCACATTCTTGGGGCTGCTTACAAATACAAAAATGAACAGGGATGGTAAGTTTCACTATTTATTTGCATGTTTACACTAAGTTCCTTAGTGTAAAATTATATTTCTTTGTATAATGTTAGAACATTTTGTAAGCACATTGTAGTTAAGTGCAAGGTAAGTTTTTATTAAGAACCTAGTTTACTTTGTTCCTACATCCAAATTACTATAGTTAAACAATGACTGTATTTATTAGATAAGTTATTTATTTTGGTGATTGAATACAGAGTCCTGCATCTACTACTGCTACATCCTTTGCCTCAATCAAGTCCTATATGTAATTATATATAGATAACAAGTGTACAGTACTAGCACACCGGAAGATAAACTAACAATGAAATACATGCATTGGGGTTTGTTTTTGGTGCCTATGCTAGGGCTTGATCTCAGGGCCTGGGCGCTGTCCCTGAGCTTTTATGCCTAAGGATAGCACTCTACCACTTGAGCACAGTGCTACTTCCAGCTTTTTAGTGGTTAATTAAAGAGGTAAGATTTTCCTGGGCTTTCCTGCCTGGGCTGGCTTCCAACCACAATCCTTAGATCTCAAAGCCTCCTGAGTAGCTAAGGTTATAGGCGTAAGCCACTGGTGCCCACCTGTATTTGTGTATTTTAACTTGTTATATCATTATGTAAAGAAGCTGAGAGATAGTAGTCGTAAGTGTTTCAGTGAGGTTTGCTTTCTAAACATATCTCCACTTTGCCATCAGTATAGATGAAAGGAATCTAGCTAGGAATTAGCCCCGATAAGTGGTGGAGATAGGTTTTGAATCCCAGGTGATCCACAGTCTGGCTCCATTCATTCTTTCTTTATCTCTTGATGCTATTTCTTCCTTTATTTTCTTGAACTATGGAACTTCCATCCTAGTGTACAGTTCAGCTACTGGGATTATAGAATGTTTACTGCTGGTGGTTCTAAGTTTCAGGATGCTAACTGCACCTTCAATAGTGGCTGAGTGGAAGGAACTAGAATGCAGTGAAGCTTTTGGTATTTGGTCTTTTTTTTTTTAATGGAAGTTGATAATATTAGCATATCTACAGGGAATTGAATTTGTGTCTTAGTTTGATTACTTTTTTCCCCTCTTCTGTCAGTGCTGATCTAATCTAAGGCCCTGTACATGCTAGGCAAACACTCTACCTCAGATCTACATTCTCATCCCTGTAGTTTATCAAACTAAAGCTAATTATCCCAGTACAATATTTCAGGGAAATGCCAGTAAACATTCAGATCTGTTATCAGAAGCAATTTACAATTAAATGCTTTACTCATGGTAAACAGAAAGTGATATGGGTATACCCATGTTTGCTAGAACTTCTGAAATGGGGCTTAGGTGTTTACTAAATTAAGTGAGCATAAGAGTTAGCTGTTAGTAGAGCTATCTTTATGTTTTCCAATTCTCCATTCAGCTCTGGTGTTGCACCTCTCACCAGACTGCCCCTAATCTGGGATCCCCAGTGTGCTTGAGTATCTACATTGTCAGGTACAACGTTTCACTAACTCCTTATTCTGCTTGTAATTCCAATTCCTGAGCTGATTTTTGGGGGGGGGGGGGGGCCAGTCTGGTCGTGGGGCCTGAACTCTGGGCCTGGGCGCTGTCCCTCAGCTCTTCAGCTCAAGGCTAGCGCTCTACCACTTGAGCCATAGCACCACTTCCAGCTTTTTTGTTTTTGCTTTTATGTGGTGCTGAGGAATCGAACCCAGGGCCCCATGCTTGCAAGGCAAGCGCTCTACCACTGAGCCACCTTCCCAGCCCCCTGAGCTGATTTTTTGAGGAAAGAATCTGAAAGGTAATAACTTCCTACATCACATATTGTGGGATTTGATTTGAGTCTTCAGGGACAGCACAGTGAGACATTTTTATTAGGAAAGATTTAAGGTATTTTAGATGGATACATGTAAGTAAAATCTTTACTTCTTCACTCACTTAAAAGAAGAAAAGGATGGGGTTAAGAAGAATCAAGTTAATAGAAAAATGATCAGAACCTAATCTTTGTCTTTAAAACCCTTACTCCATTGCTTTAGTAACAAGATGGTTTTGTTAGGGGACTTTAAGGAGAGTCTAAACATGAAAGAAGACAAGAAGCTTCACAGAGGAAGTAACACGTGAACCAATTCTGGAAGCCATGGTGTGTGTGAAGGCTATTGAGTGAGTGATGACAGTCTTGAAAAGAGAGTTTAGGAAGAAGACATTCTTGTAAGTGAGGAAAATATCTCCAGGATAAAACTAGACTGACAGGCAAGTTAAGAGTGTGAGCCCTGGAATACATACCACTTACAATTTTACCCAGTACATGGTAGTAATGGTTTCAGAAATTATTACTAGGGCTGAGGCTGTAACTCATTGGTTGTGGGCTTACCTAAAATGAGCAAGGTCTTGGGTTAAATCCCTCACTGTGTACTAATCATAAACATTGTGCTGAACTTTAAACATATATACCTTTCATTAAAAATTTAACTTTTTATACTCATTCTGGGGCTTGGACTCGGCCTAAGCACTGTTCTTGAGCTTTTTCTTTTTCTTTTTTTTGGCCAGTCCCTGGCACTGTCCCTGAGCTTTTTGCTTAAGACTAGCACTCATCACTTGAGTCAGAGCTCCATTTCTTGCTTTTTCTGTTTATGTGGTACTGTACCTGGAGGCCTCATGTATGCTAGGCAAGCACTGTACACTTATTAGCCACATTTCTAGCCCATCCTTAAGCATTTTTGCTCAAAGCTAGCATTCTACCACTTGAGCCACAGCTCCACCTCCAGCTTTTTGGTACTTAATTGGACATAAGAGTCTTACAGGGAAATGGTGCTATAGCTCCAGAGGTACAGTACTGGCCTTGAGTACAAAGAGGCTCAGAGACAGTGCCCAGGCCCTGAGTTCAAGCCCACAACCAACCAAAAAAAAAAAAAAAAAAAAAGTGTTACGGACTTTACTACTTGTACTACCTTTGAACTATGATCCTAAGATCTCAGTCTCCTAAGTAGATAGGATTACAAGTGTGGGAAGTGGCGCTGTGGCTCAAGTGGTAGAGCGCTCGCCTTGAGCTGAAGAGCTGAGGGACAGCGCCCAGGCCCAGAGTTCAAGCCCCATGACCGACCAAAAAAAAAAAAATACAAGTGTGAACCACGGGCGCCCTGGCAAGATTTAACTTTTCACTAAAATCACAATAGATCACTATACTGAAGATGTTGATCCTTGATTAATAAAACTGTGTTTGAAGGAGGTGGTATGATTAATTAGTACCTAACCCAGCTTGAATATACAGCCCTCATCAGTCATCAAAGTCTAAGAGTTTCAACCCAACACAGAATATGTTATTCATTGGTATGTAAAGAGATAAGGGAGAAAGTTACCCAGGAAAGGTTAGATGAGTTTGAGCACATTTAGGAAAACAGTAGGGTCAAAGAACACCTTTTTTCCCCCATAGAATGTAGACATTAAGACCATACTGCTAAGTGAAATTTATAAATTTAATTCCCAGGATCCTTTAGAGAATTGGTACTTTATTTTGACTTGGGTAGCTTTTAATGTCATTTTTTGTGTGTGACTGACACTGAGTGTACTACCAAGGATTGTTTTTCTAAGTCTTTCTAATTTTAATTGGATTCTGAATCGTCTTCACTTTTCTCGGTTTATTAAGACAAACTAATTACTATTTTTTTTCTGTTTTAGGAGGAGATTTGATCTACAAAATCCATCTCGAATGGATCGCAATGTTGAAATGTTTATGAATATTGAAAAAACATTGGTGCAGGTAAGTTGGAAAATTAATATTTTGTGCAAAGTATACTTTAAGATGGGTCCCTGTGGGTTATGCCTATACTCAGTTATTCAGGAGGTTGAATGAGATCTGGAAAATCACTCTTTGAAGCCAGCCCATTCAGAAAAGTTCAAGAGAGTCCATCTCTAAAATGATCAGGAAGAAATTCAGAGACTTGAGATGTGACTCAAATATAATGCCAGCTGAATAAATATGAGATCTTGAGTTCAAACTTAATGTGTGGGGGGCAGGGGGAGGAAAAGAGTTATGTGTGTGTTAGGTTGGTGATATTGGATTGCCAAATGACCAGTGGAAGATTTTTCTTAAATGAGTTGTCTGAGATTGTCATTTTAAGACTATTGATCTTAGATTTCTGGTAAAAAGAATCCGTGCTATTTTTCTTTATTCATTTCCCCTCTGTAGCAGCTGGTCAAGGTGGTTCAACCCTGTAGTCTTATCTCCTTGGTAGGCTAGGATCATGGGGTTGAAGTTTGAGGCCAACTGAGGTAAACAAATTCCAAAGACTCACCTAGTGGCTGGTGCAGTGGTTCATCATGCCTATTATTTTCAGCAGTGTAGGGATCACAAGTAAGATTTAAGCCCAGGCGAGTCAAGACATAAATTGAGATTTTTGTTTGTTTGTTTTTTTGGTGGGTCTGGGGCTTGAACTCTGGGCCTGGGCACTGTCCCTCAGCTCTTCAGCTCAAGGCTAGCGCTCTACCACTTGAGCCACAGCACCACTTCCAGTTTTCTGGTGGTTTATTGGAAATAAGAGTCTTATGGTCTTTCCTGCCCAGGAAAGCGTGAGCCACTGGTCTCCAGCATGAACTCTTTATTTTTACATGTTTTGGTGTTTTTTTTGGGGGGGGGGGGGAGGGGGTCCGGTCGTGGGGCCTGAAGTCTGGGCCTGGGCGCTGTCCCTCAACTCTTCAGCTCAAGGCTAGCACTCTACCACTTGAGCCACAGCGCCACTTTCAGCTTTTTTCTTTTTGCTTATATGGTGCTGAGGAATCGAACCCAGGGCCTCATGCATGCAAGGTAAGCGCTCTACCACTGATTCACCTGCCCAGCCCATACATGGTTATTTTTAAGAAAGATCTCATCTAGCTACTCAGGAGGCTGAGGTCTGAGGATCACTGTTCAAAACCCAGCAGGAAAGTCCATGAGCCTCTTATCTCCAGTTAATCACCAGGAAACTAAGTGGTAGAGTACTAGCCATGAGCTGAAGAGCTGAGGAGCAGCACCCAGGCCCAGAGTTCAAGCTCCATAACCAACCAAAAAGGAAAAAAAAAGTTCGTGAGGAGTGGCTCAAATAGTAGAACGCTTGCCTGGCAAGAACAATTGCTTGCCTAGCAAGAAAGTACTGCTCCCCACAACTCCCTTACTATTTTTATCCTTTGTTTTTTCATTTATATAAACACTGTCTCATCCACTGTACCAGTTATTTGATTGTATTGTCAATGTTTTTAGATTGGTTCTATGGTTATGTCTTCTATGTTTTATTTTCCTAACTAGATAATCTCAGAATGAGAGAAGGCTTTATTTTTTTGTATTTCCAAGTCTCCTTCTTTCTTCCCTTCCCCTGTCTTTTTTCTCCCTACCCCCCCCCCCCATCTTTTTTTTTGTTGTTAGTGGTGGTGATCATGGGGCTTGAACTCGGGGCCTGCATGGTGTCCCTGAGCTGCTTCATTATTCAAGGCTAGCACTCTACCACCACTTTGAGCCACAGAGCTACTTTCAGTTTTCTGAGGGTTAATTTGGAGATAAGAGTCTCACAGATTTTGCTGTCCTGGCTGGCTTCCAGACTTCAATCCTCAGATCTTAGCCTCCCGAGTAGTTAGAATTATAGGTGAGAGCCACAAGTGCCAGGCCCATTTCCCTCCCCCACTTCGCTTATCTTTTTTTTGTATGTGTGTGTGGTGTTAATGATTGAGATCCAGAACTTGTGCTAAGCAAGCACTCTATCATGCCACACAGCCATTCTGCTGACCTAGTATTTTTTATTTATTTTTTTTGTCAGTCGTGGGACCTGAACTCTGGCCCTGGGCGCTGTCCCTCAGCCCTTCAGCTCAAGGCAAGCTCTCTACCACTTGAGCCACAGTGCCACTCTTGGCTTTTTCTGCCTATGTGGTGAGGAATCAAACTCAGGGCCTCATGCATGCCAGGCAAGCATTCTACCACTGACACCTTCCCAGTCCTGAACTAGTATTTTTGTGTGTGTGTGGGTTGTGGGGCTTGAACTTAGTTAGGGCTTGGGCACTATCCCTCAGCTCTTCAGCTGAGGCGAGCGCTCTACCGCTTCAGATACAGCACCACTTTCAGTTTTCTAGTGCTTTTTTGGAGATAAGAGTCTCATGGACTTTCCTGCCCGGGTTGGCTTTGAACCACAAGCTTCAGATCTAAGCCTCCTGAGTAGCTAGGAATACAGGTGCAAGCCACCAGCGCCTGGCTGGTGTAATTTTTAAATGCTCACTGAGTTAGCGTTTCTGAAGAAAGGTCTCTAACAAAAACGAATGTGTAAGCTGGGCACTGGTGTATCAAGCCTGTAAGCATAGCTACTCAGGAGGATTGTGGTTCGAAGCCACCCTGGGCAGGAAAGTCCATGAGATACTTACCTACATTAACCACCAAAAAAAGCCAAAAGTTAGGCTCATTGCAGCAGCGCAGATACTAAAATTAGAACAATACAGAGAAGATTGGCTTTGCCCCTAAGCAAGGATGACAACAGAGGTGTGAAGCATTCCATATTTTCATGCCCTGATTTTATCTGTCAGTAAACATTGTGAGTGGGGTGGGGTGAGGGTAAGGAAGCCAAAAGTGGAGCTGTGGCTCAAGTGGTAGAGCACTAGCATCTAGGCCCTAAGTCTAAGTTCAAGTCCCAGGACCAGCACAAAAACAGCTAATGTATAGAACTTCTTTGTCTGTAGGCAGTAACTTTGGAAAGAAATGGATTTGTTGGGTTGGGAATGTGGCTTAATGGTAGAGTGCTTGCCTAGTATGCATGAAGTCCTGGGTTCGATTCTCAGTACCACGTAAATAGAAAGGCCAGAAGTGGCATGCACTGTGGCTTAAGTGGTAGAGTGCTAATCTTAGCAAAAGAAAAGCTCAGGCAATGCCTAGCTTGAGTTCAAGCACCAGGACTAGCAAAAAAAAAAAAATTGATTTGTTGTTTGAGCTTTGTTGAGTTTTGTTCATCATTTGAAGAGTTAATCAGCATGTTCTGTTATTGTGATAATGCTATAATTTCATCTTTAACGAAGTAGCTGAAAAATACTGCTACATTAGATTGAGAAGATAAATTTAAGTAACAGTGACCAAGAACATTAATCTGATAATGGCAAAGTAGCTTAATGGAAAAAGTGCTAAATTTCAGGTCATTATTCTTAGCATATTCTTGTTCAGGGACTGCCACCTGCGGAGAAGGGTCTGGGAATAGTCTTAAATGGCCTGCTGAAACAATGAAGTTTTAGTTTGAGATAAGACTCTCATATTCTACATACTTTCAAAGTATAATCTTCCATTAAGAAATAATGAGTTTGAATGCCATTTTTGCCATTAAGATAATGAATAATGTTAAATGATTTAAAAAACAATAGAATTAAACAATGTCTTTTTTTTTTTTTCTTAGAACAATTGTCTGGCTAGACCCAACATCTACCTCATTCCAGACATTGATCTGAAGCTGGCTAACAAATTGAAAGATATCATCAAACGACACCAGGTAATTCTCACCAGAAACATTGTATAGTAATAAACCTCAAATAAAGGTTTACTGTGATATGTTTGGTTTTCTGCATGTACCTGCATTAAAGGAAAGTTTTCTCTTTGAGTTCTTTTTTTCCTCTTTCATTATTCGCCTCCAGAGCAGCATTTTTTTTTTTTGTCGGTCGTGGGGCTTGAACTCTGGGCCTGGGCACTGTCCCTCAGCTCTTTAGCTCAAGGCGAGCGCTCTACCACTTGAGCTACAGCGCCACTTCTGGTTTTCTGGTGGTTTATTGGAGATAGGAGTCTCACGGTCTCTCCTGCCCGGGCTGGCTTTGAACCTCGATCCTCAGATCTCAGCCTCCTAAGTAGCTAGGATTACAGGCGTGAGCCACCAGCGCCCGGCTAGAGCAGCATTTAATATAGTCATCACAGTCTGATATTGAAGTATGCTCTCCTACTTGCATAGAATTAAAATAAAAACAGGTAATCTGTATTACAGCACACTAAATCACGGATATCACCAAAGTTGCTGGATACCTGTTGCTCAGTGCCTCATGTCTGTAATCCTAGCTATTCAGGAGACCAAGATTGAGGTTTGAAAGCCAGCCTGGACAGGAAATTCATGAGACTTATTTTTTTGGGGGGGAGGAATGGGGTGTCTGGTCATGGGGCCTGAATTCTGGGCCTGGGTGCTGTCCCTCAGCTCTTCAGCTCAAGGCTAGCGCTCTACCACTTGAGCCACAGCACCACTTCTGGCTTTTTTGTTTTTGCTTATGTGGTGCTGAGGAATCGAACCCAAGGCCTCATGCATGCAAGGCAAGCGCTCTACCATTGAGCCACCTTCCTAGCCCTCATGAGACTTTTTTTTTTTTTGTCGGTCGTGGGGCTTGAACTCTGGGCCTGGGCGTTGTCCCTAAGCTCTTCAGCTCAAGGCGAGCGCTCTACCACTTGAGCTACAGCGCCACTTCTGGTTTTCTGGTGGTTTATTGGAGATAGGAGTCTCACGGTCTCTCCTGCCCGGGCTGGCTTTGAACCGCGATCCTCAGATCTCAGCCTCCTGAGTAGCTAGGATTACAGGCGTGAGCCACCAGCGCCCGGCCCTCATGAGACTTTTATCTCCAATTGACTACTAAAAGTAACTGAACCTGTGGCTCAGGTTGGTAGAGTGCTAGCCTTTAGCAGAAAAGCTTAGGGAGGGCGCCTCAGCCCCAGGACCAGCACACACAGAGAAATCAGCAAAATCAAAGTTTGTGACAGAATTCTTTATTGGAGGAAGTGAACTACATTTAAACTTACCTAAGTACAGCAGGTTCGTTTTATCTTTTAGATTTATTACATTTGATTTTGATAAGATGAAAGAAACAATAAGTAAAAAGTTTTTAAAGCTGCACAGAAATGGTGGGACAAAGGATGAACAAATGCAGATGGGATACTCACTGGACACTATGTCGAACATGAAATGTGCAACTTGTAAGGGGGTTTGGGGAGGGGAAAACAAGGAGAAAGCAAGGGCAGATGACACTGTTCAAAAAAAAAATGTACTCATTACCTGACTTCTGTATATCACCTTTAACAAATTTTTTAAAAAGAAAATGAATTTTTAAAGCTAAAATGTAAATTCCCGTGCACATATCACATTCAGTTCTGCATTATCATCAGTTGTGTTTCAACCTGTGGTCTAGCTGGGTGAGGTGGCTTAAACTATAATCCTAGCTACTTCCTTTGCAGAGATCAGGGAATCATGGTTCAAGATTATAAAAGTTCAGAAGACTCATTTTCTACCAATAGCTACAGAGGAAGCGCAGTGGCTAGGCACAGTAGAACACCCCTGTCATCCCAGTAGAATTATTAAGGTCGAAGCAAACTCAGGCATAAATCAAGACCCTGCCTGAAAAGGCTGGTGGGGTGGGTCAAGAGGTGAGTGCCCCTTGATAGCTCACACTCATCATAGCTACTCAAGAGACTGAGATCTAAGGATTGAAGTTCAATGCCAAACCAAGCAGGAAAGTCTGTGAGACTCTTATCTGTAATTACCTGCCAAAAAAGAGCTGTGAGTGGAGCTGTGGCTCAAGTGGTAGCTTTGAACTAACTATAAAGCTCAGAGACTGTGCCCAAGACCTGAGTTCAAGACCCAAAACCTGTGTGCGAGCGCACACACACAAAAGTTAAGTGCCAGTCTAGCTAGTGTGAGGCCCTGAGTTTAAACCCTAGTACTAACAAAATACTGGGTAATCTATGAATGCTTTCCTGCCCTAATTTTGTGAATATGTGCCTTCCAAAACTCCTAGAAAGCAAGCTAAAAGTTCATTGCTTAATGTAAGTGATAAAGTGAAAATTTTAGATTCGTTGAAGAGGCATCAAGTCTTTAGCAGAAGTTGGATCACATTGCAGGAAAAAATGATGCATCATCTGTCTATCATAGTCAATGTAGCTTGATGAAATAGGTGGGACAGATACACTTGTTTTGCCATCCATACCCTGATACCCTGTGTACAAGTAAAAGTGCTTTTGATAGTATTCAAATCCAAGGAATGACTCTTCCCATTGCCTTTTCTGTACTCAGCAGTGTGAATTACTGTGTAACTTTAGGAAGTTAATTTGTCCTGCAGTTGTGGTTAAAGGCCTTTATATTACCTTGTCACTGCATCTGGAGACTGTTACTGGCTTAGGTCATTCATATGGTCTCTAGAATGCTTTTTGGTCTAAAGGTTTCCAAATTGTGTTGGAGACTGCATTCAGTATTTTAGCCTGGGCCTTAGCCGTGTCTTAACTTTAGTTTTTATATTAGTTCTCTGGAAATGACAGCAGGTGTGTACACGGACACATGTGTCATTTCATATGTTACATGCTGTATCTATAGGTCAAGTTGATATGTGTGTATATCAAAATATAAGTAAAATAGTACTGTTACAAATTTTGTGGAATTTGTATCTAACATCTGATAGTTTCCTTGCCATGTGCTTTCTTTTGATGTTACTTTGTAAATTTACTTTTTAGGGAACATTTACTGATGAGAAGTCAAAAGCTTCCCACCACATTTATCCATATCCTTCCTCACAAGAGGATGGTAAGTTAATATTTGCTTATGAATTTGTAAGCTCATAAGTATCTTTCATGTCATAGCCAAAAGGTTTAAACAATATAGCCATTTATTTACTTCTTGCTTACTCACTGTGTTTCCGGAAGAGCAATTTGGTTTGTATCCAGGCTGGCCTGGAACTATCCATATAGCCCAAGGCAGCTTTGAATTCATGATCTTCCTGCCTCAGTCTTCTGGATTATACCATCACACTATCTTTCAAGTCAGCTTTTTAAAGTGCCCGTTACTGTCTGTTTTCTTGAACTCTGGGCCTGAGCGCTGTCTCTCAGCTCTTTAGCTGAAGGCAAGAGTTCTACCACTTGAGCCAAGATGCCACTTCCAGTTTTCTGGTGATTAATTGGAGATAGAGTCTCACAGACATTCCTGCCCTGGCTGGCTTTGAACTGTGATCCTCAGATCTCAGTCTCCCGAGTAGCTAGGATTATAGGCATGAGCTACCCCATCACCCAGCTCTTTTCCCTCTTTTTATATCCTTATGTTCTGTTGTTCGGAATTGTGCTTAGGATCAGTGTTCTTTTGTAGCTCACTGAGTTTTTCTTTTCTTTTCCTTTCTTTTTTTTATTGTGAAAATGCCATTCTTTTTTTTGTTTTTTTCTTTGGCTCTCCTGGGCCTTTATCTCAGGGCCTGGGCTCTATCCCTGAGCTGCTTTTGCACAAAGCTAGCACACTAACACTTGAACCACAGACCTCTTGCAGCTTTTTCTGTTATGTGGAACTGAGGACTCCAACCCAGGGCTTCATGCATGCTAGGCAAGCACTCTACCACTAAGCCATATTCCTAGCCCCTCTCACTGAGTTTCTTTTTCTTTTTTTTTTTTTCTTTCATTCTTTTTTTTGTTGATGGTAGGGCCTGTACTCTGGGCCTGGGTGCTGTCCTTCAGTTCTCCAGCTCAAGGCTAGCACTCTACCACTTGAGCCACAGCACCACTTGAATCTGGGGCTTGAACTCAGGGCCTGGGAGCTGCCCCTAAGCTCTTTTGCTCAGGGCTAGTGCTCTACCAGTTTGAGCCACAGCGCCACTTCTGGTTTTCTGGTAGTTGAGATAAGAGTCTCACAGGCCTTATTGCCCGGACTGGCTTTGAACGGTGATCATTGGATCTCAACCTCCACAGTAGCTAGAATGAGAGGTGTGAACCATCATCCCTGGGCTTCTCCATGATTTTTTTAAATTGAGAGGTTTACTTATTTCTCAGACAGCAGATTATAATCATTTCTCCCTCTGGTGTCCATCTGTGCTACTGCAAGTGCTCTGGTGCAGCTTTCTGCTGGATTATCTTTTGTTCTCCTTGGCTCTCAGGCATCCCAAGTATGCTGATTTTCTATTAGTGCTACAAAGTTAAATGAGACTGAAGCCAGTCCCTTGTGCAGTTGCCCAGAAAGCTGTTACACTGGGCTTGAACCAGAGACTTTGTATTTTCAGCTTTCTCACAGCTGGCACTCTACCACCCAAGCCACAGCTGGTTAATTGGACCTAGGAGTCTTAATGACTTCTGCTGTGACTGGCTTTGAACCAAGATCTGAGTACCTAGACTTACAAGTGTGAGCCAACAGTGCCCTATAAAGACACCCTCCTCCTCACCCCTACCCCAGGTCCTGGGGCTGGAACTGCGTGCCTGGGCTTTGTCCCTGAGCCTCTCTGTGCTCAAGGCTAGCATGCTTACCAGTTGAGCTGCAGCACCACTTCTGGCTTTTTCTGTGTATATATGGTGCTGAGGAATCAAACCTAAGGCTTCATGCATGCTAGGCAAGCACTCTACCACTAAGCCACCTTCTTAGCCCCAAAGATTCTTCTTAAGTTTTAGTGGTTACTAGGATTTGAATTCAGGGCCTCATGTTCTTGTTTGTTTTGCTTGCTCAGCTGGAGATCTACTTGAAGCAGCCATATATTTTCCTTCCTCTTTCCCCCCTCAACCCCCCCACTCTCCCCTCTTCCCTCCCTCTCCCCTCTTTCTTTTCTTTCTTTTTTTTTTTTTTTTTTTTTGCCAGTCTTGGGGCTTGAACTCTGCCTGGATGCTGTCCCTGAAGCTCTTTGTGCTCAAGGCTAGCACTCTACCACTTAAGCCACAGTGCTACCTCTGGCTTTTTCTGAGTAGTTTATTGAAGATAAGAGTCTCACAGAATTTTTTGCCCAGGCTGGCTTCAAACTGTGATCCTAAAATCTCAGTGTCATGAGTAGCTAGAATTATAGGCATGAGCCACCAGCGCCTGGCTGTATTTACCTTTGTGGATATTATAAAAGAGGATTTTCCCTCTTTGTGATTCTCACCACGCACTAGAGTTTGAGCTAGGGATCTTGCTCTTGGAAAGTTCTCTACTATTTGAGCCACACCTCCAACCCCTTTTGCTATATTTACGTAGTGACTCACTTTTTGCTCAAGTCTGGTGTTAGACTGCAGTCCTCCTGAGTACAAGAAGTATGAAACTTTTCTACTTTCACTTGCCTTTTTTTTTTTTTTTTTTCACTGTGATTCTCAGCCAGTTTTTCAATGTTTCTTTTGTCCATTTGTAGTTCAGATACAAGCCAACCAATACCAGTTTTCACCATGTTAGTATTTCTCAGTTTCTGTATTATTCCAGTGTTGGATATCTGGTAATTAGATTTTTTTTTTTATACTATTGAGGTTTTGAATTCAGGGATTTGTTCTTGCTAGACAAGTAGTCTATTCACTCAGGCACATATTGGCTCAAGACTTCTCCATGCCCCAAAGCCTTTCTGAAAAGTAAGTAAATTGTTTATTATGTCTAATTTTTCCTTTTCCATGAAAATTCTGCTTTAAACTTTGGCATAAGCTTCTTTTCCTGATCCTTTGGATGCTTGTCTTGTGGCCCTACATATTGTATTGTGTCCTCTTATGTTGAGTCATAGAAGACATAAAATGAATTTTCCTAGTAGTAATTTCTTCATAAATTAAGTCTTGGCTACATTCGTTACTTTTGCATGGTTATGTCCAAATACCTGACAGAGACAGCTTAAAGGAGAAAGAGGCCCTGTCTCAAAAAAGACCAAGAGCTAGGTCAGGGTTGCTTGCTTGGTACAGGTAAAGACTTCAGTTCAATCCCAGCATTGAGAAAGGGGGGAAGGGGAGGAGGAAAGAATGGAGATGGATATTTATAGTGATGGTTAGTCCATATTCATTCCCTTGGGCTCATGCCCTTGAGAATGTGACAGAGTAGGTTCTCATCCCGTGGCAGACAGGAAGCAGAATATAGAGGAATATAGAAAGTGATCAGGCCAGATGCTGGTGGCTCATACCTGTCATTCTAGCTACTCAGGAAAGTCTCTAAGACTCATTTCTAGTTTCACCAAAAAGCCAGAAGTAGAGCTGTGGTTCTAGTGATAGAGACTTAGCCTTAGCTGAAAAAGTCTAAGGATATCACCCAGTCCCTGAGTTCAAACCCAGGACCAGCAAAGGAGAAGAGGTGGTGGATGGGAGCACAGGAGAGGAGAGAGATCAGGCAACGTATAGCCCCAATGACAAACCTTCAGTGACCTTTATCCTCCTATTAGGCCTCACCTCCTACTTGTACTTCTCAATAAATCACATTATAAACCCATCAAGGACTTTATCCATTAGATCAGAGCCCTCCTGATCAAATTGTGTCTGGAAAAGACACATCCAGACATATCCAGATAACTCAGAGGAGTGCTTTAATAATCCCCAGGCAGCTCTCAGGATAGTCATGTTGATTATGAAGGCTAACACACATTCTGTATAAATATAGAACATCTTGAAAGAGGATGTAAGTTTAGATATCTGAAACCTTTAATTATTTCTTCCGCTAGGAAATTTTTTACAGGCAGTGGCTGTCACAATGGCTGTCAAAATCATCAGTGATTAAGATGGCTATTCTTTTTTTTCCTTCCCTCCTATAACTGTACAGTGTTTAAAGGTAGGTCAGCATTTTGAATAGAAAATAATCTTACTAGAGAGCCAAAAGAAACAGGACAGGTATCTAAATCAGCTTGTTGTTACTAGAACAAAGTACTAAAAAGGAAGGTTTAGTCTGTCTCACTTGGGAGGTTCATCCTGTGGGCAGTTGTCTGACACTGCATTTTGGTCTGTGGTAAGTCAGCACATCATACAAGTTGCATCACATAATGGAGAAAGCTGTTTGCTTCATGGGGGCTGGGAAGTAAAGAGGACGAAGAAGAAGGGTGCCCTAGGGTCCTGATACTGTCTTGAAGGGCACACTCATGCATCATCAGAACACTTCCAACTAGGACCTGCTAATGGCATTGTCCAAATAATTCCTCCAGCTATGGGGCGGGGGGGGGGGGGGGGGGGGCGGTAATAGAGGAGAAGTCTTTAATGCATAGGCCTTTGGGGGAGCTATTTAAACCATAGCAACAAATTAGTTCAAAGGTCCTGTGGCCTCTCTCCTCCATTTTTCTGAGACTTGGCCTCATTGGAATGTCAGGTTATAGAATGAGGACTAATTGTTTTTTAATTTCTTTCAAGAGAGCAAGGTAACCAGTTGGATGATTCACAAAGAATTCTGAAATATGGGCTTTGTGGCTTTATTTAGTCTGAAGCTGTGGCTATTACTCATTGAAACTGCAATTGAAAAATCAGGTTTGCTTAGCTGATTTACCTAGATTGGAGCTATTTTCTTGACTTTCGAAGACTCTTTGCAGAAATTAGCTTTTATTGTGATGGTTAAGATTTTTTACTTGATTTTGCAAAATTAGGATTGAACACAGGGTCTCAGATTTTGGTAGGCAGGTGCTCCACCTTTTGAGCTACTCCTCTAGCCCATTTACTTTATTTATTTATTTATTATTTTTGTTGATCATGGGGCCTGAACTCTAGGCCTGGGCACTGTCCCTCAGCTCTTCAGCTCAAGGCTAGCGCTTTACCACTTGAGCCACAGCACCACTTCCAGCTTTTTCTGTTTATGTGGTGCTAAGGAATCAAACCCAGGGCCTCATGCATGCAAGGCAAGCACTCTACCCCTGAGCCATCTTCCCAGCCCTGCCCTTTTATTTTGTCTTTGAAAATAGAATCTAGATAACTTCATTTGAACTTGAGATCCTGTCTCTTGAGTAGCTAGAGTTACATCTACCATCACCATACCTGGCTAGAAACAAGTTTTCCTAAATAAATCCAGACTTCCTAAGAAGCCATGATGACTAGTGCTGAAACAGAGTTAATTCAAGTAACCATAGTTAATATATAATTAACACCTGTCTTTGGATGAGGAAACTAAAAGAATACTATCTAGGAAGAGGGAGAAAAATGAGGGATGGGGGTAACAAGATCAACAAATGTACTCACTACCTTATATAACTGTAACACCTCTGTACATCACCTTGACAATAAAATTTTTAAGAAAAGAATACTATCTATAGCCTGTAATCACAGGCTTTTTGTTTTGTTTTTTGGTTCTAGTGAAGGAACTGTTTGTTGTAGGCCTAGGCAACATTCTATAATTGTTCTACATCCCCAAATTGAGTGCTTGCACTCAAGAAGATTACAAGGTGCTCTGGTGGCTCACACCTATAATCCTAGCTACTCAGGAGGATGAGATGTGAGGATCATGGTTTAAAGCTCGGGCAGGAAAGTCCTTGAGATTTATCTCCAATAAACCACCAGAAAACTGGAAGGGGTGCTGTGGCTCAAATGGTAGAGAGCTAGCCTTGAGCTGAAGAGCTCAGGGACAGCACCCAGGCTGAGTTCAAGCCCCACAAGTGACCCCACTCCACCCCCCCAAAAAAAAAGATTACGGTAACAGATATGAGGAAAATAAAGAATGTCAAAGTTGTTTTGTTTTGAAAAGTATTGTTTTCTTCTATTTTTGTTTCTTTTTGTTATTTCTGGGGATGAAGTCCAGATCTAGTGCATGGTAAGGAAGAAGTCTACCACTGAGCTACATTCCCCATCCTGTTCTTTTCTTCTCATTTTAAATTGAAGGATGGAATCCAAGGCTTTGAGCATGCTAGGTAAAACTACTATCACTGAGCTACTACATAACATTATAGGACACGAGAAAAGGTGGGTATAGAAGCAGCAAAATAATTAACCAAATACTTGCATCAAGGTGTTAAGGCATGATTTAAAAAAAAATTTTTTTTATTGTGAAAATACCGTACAGAGGGGTTACATGGGCATAATGCATGATCTATATCTTGAACTAGGTAGTTAATACAGTGGCATACAGAAAAGGGATTAGCAGGTCTGAGAGCTAAAACAATAAAAAAGTTTACATTATGGTTTTGTCTTGTGTGGAAGAGAAAGACAAGTAGGTAAATGGGAGGGAGTAATGTACTTCAGTGAACACTCTTTGGTAAGAGTGATAGATAGTAGATCTAGACATTAGAAACTGAATATCCAAGCTGAGAAATGTTCCTTTAATCTAGTAGATAGCCTTCAGTTAAATTTTTTTTTCTTTTAATTTTATTAGCAAACCAAAAGTTCTTAGTAAAATTTTCAATTAAGTCATAGTTATTTGCTATTTTTATATTTTGATGTATTTTCTTTTTTCTCTTTCAGAAGAATGGTTGAGACCAGTGATGAGAAAAGATAAGCAGGTATTAGTGCACTGGGGTTTTTACCCAGACAGGTAATTTTTTTAATATAATTTATTGGTTTAATTGTACATATTTGTGGTATATGATATGATAATTCAGTATATACCTAAAGTATGTAATGATGAAAAGTGAGTTAGCCTATTTATAAAGATTGTTTTGACTTAGATAGTAAATGTATGTACTTACGAGGTACATTGTGGTATTTTAATGCATATGGATAGAATCTACTGATCAAAACAGGGTAATCTTAATGTTTCTGTTCTGTTTGTAGGTGGAGCTTTTGAGCTCCTCTCTTCAGACAGTAAACATTGGTACAGGTAGTTACTGTACAAAGATTTATGTCACAGCAAGTGTATAGTTTCATTTTCTAAATAGCATTATCTTTGTAGATTAGTATTGTTTATGGAAGGTTTTTTTTTTTTCTTTTTGGTCCATTGTGGGGCTTGAACTCAGGGCCTGGGTGCTGTCCCTGAGCTCTTCACGTTCACAGCTAGTGCTTTACCATTTTGAGCACAGCACCACTTCTGGGTTTTCTGGTGATTAATTGGAGCTAAGAATCAAACAGACTTTGCTTCCCCAGCTGGCTTTGACCTGAGATCCTCAGATCTCAGCCTCTTGAGTAGTTAGGATTGTAAGCATGAGCCACCAGCACCTGGCTTTATTATGATTTTTATTTGGATTTTGAAACAGGATCTTGTTATGTAGCCTTAGCTTGCTGTGAACAACCACATTTTCCTTGAACTCAAGATCTTGGCTTTCTGCTTCAACTTCACTAATGGTGGAGTTACAGAGCGGTACCATCATGCCCCACTCACATTTAACCATAAAATGAATAATAAGTTCATACATGTTTCTTAAATCAAAGGACCTTTCTTTCTTTTCTTTTCTTTTTTGTCGGTCGTGGGTCTTGAACTCTGGGCCTGGGCACTGTCCCTCTGCTCTTCAGCTCAAGCGAGTGCTCTACCACTGGAGCCACAGTGCCACTTCCAGTTTTCTAGTGCTTTATTGGAGATAAGAGTCTCTCGGAGTTTCCTGGCTTTGAACCGTGATCCTCAGATCTCAGCCTCCTGAGTAGCTAGGCTTACAGGCATAAGCCACCAGCGCCCGGCTTTTTTTTCTTTTCTTTCTTTTTTTGGGGGGGAGGGGGGGTCTGGTCATTGGGGCCTGAACTCTGGGCCTGGGCGCTATCCCTCAGCTCTTCAGCTCAAGGCTAGCGCTCTACCACTTGAGCCACAGTACCACTTTCAGCTTTTTTCTTTTTGCTTATATGGTGCTGAGGAATTGAACCCAGGGCCTCATGCATGCAAGACAAGTGCTCTACCACTGAGCCACCTTCCCAGCCCTTTTCTTTTCTTTCTTTTTTTTTTTTTTTGGTTGGTCATGGGGCTTGAACTCTGGGCCTGGGCACTGTCCCTCAGTTTAGCTCAAGTTGACCGCTCTACCACTTGAGCCACAACGCCACTTCTGGTTTTTTGGTAGTTTATTGAAGATAAGAGTCTCAAGGACTTTACTGCCTGCTCTAGCCTTGAACCTCAATCCTCAGATCTCAGCCTACTGAGTAGCTAGGATTACAGGTGTGAGCCATCCATGCCCAGCTGTTCTTTCTTTTTTTCTTTTTTTTTTTTTTTTTTGCCAGTACTGGGGTTTGAATTCTGAATTGGACCATGTGTGGCTTGCTTCTCAGCTATCAACTACCACTTTAGCCACACTTTCAGCCTCTGGCTTTTTGCTGGTTATTGTGGAGATAGAGTCTTGTGGATTTTTGTGTCCTTGCTAACTTTGAATTGTAATGTTCCAAAGCAAGGATAATAAGAAGTTCTAATGGTCTTAAAAAAAATCATTAATCATAATATTGTCAGTCCTCAGAAGAGTAATTTCTTAATACCAGATACCTGATAGTAGTTGCTATATAATTTTTATACTGTTTTATTGATGTTTGATAGATATGAGATGTTTGCTTGAATTAAAAATCAGATAGAATTTATTATGTTGTAATTTTTCTGTGTGTATGTTTGCCAGTGCTGAGGTTTGAACTCAGGCCCTGGGCACTGGGTTCTTGCTTGTTTTGCCTTGCTTTGCTTTTCTTCTTTTGGTGGTGGTTAATTGGAGAAAAGAGTTTCCCACTTTTCTGACCAGACTGTCTTTTGATTATGACTCAGATCTCAGCCTTCTGAATAGCTCTGATTACAGTGTCAGTCTTACTTCCTTTTCCTCCTTCCCTTCCCTACTGGAGTTTGAATTGAGGAGCTCATACGTTTTCAACTTGGTTGCTCAGTTGGTACTGTGTCACTTGAGCCATTCTTCCAGCCCCAGTTTTTGCTGGCTAATTTAGAGATAGAGCCTTAGACTTTTCTGCCCAGGTTGACCTTGGAACTGTGAGGATCTCACCTTGAGTTGCTTTGATTATAGGCCTGAGCCTCAGGAGTCTGGCTGCTAATTGTATTTCTAAAATACATTATTTGCTAATACATTTTGTCTAATGAATGGACTTTGTCTAATGAATGAACTGAAGCTAATTTGATTTTTTTTTTTTTTCACTTACTCTATAGCTATGATACTTGGGTCCATAGTAGTGATGTTGATGCTGAAATTGAAGAGCCACCAATTCCAGAAAAACCCTGGAAGGTACATGGATTTTTCTTCCAATCAGGACAGCTAGATCCTGCCTGTCCAGCCTTCTCTGCTTCTTTCCTCCTGCTGCCTCCCAGTCACTTCTTAATTGATTCTGGCTTTTTTCACTACAGAATCTAATCTCCTCTACATGGTTCTCACTCATGGAATAAAAATACCAGATGCCTCTAGTCCATTTTGTCCCATTTCCCCCCCCCCCCCCCCATACTATCTTCTTTACCAATGGGAGATAAAAAGTAAAGATTAGAAAAAGTAGGTGGTGCCTGTGGCACACAGCTATAATCCTAGCTACTCAGGAGACTGAGATCTTCAGATCACAATTCAAAGCCAGCCAGGCAGTAAAGTCTCTGAGAATCTTATCTCCAGTAAACTACTCAGAAAAAGCAAGAAGTGGTGCTGTTACTCAAATGGTAGAGTGCTAGCACAAAGAGACTCAGAGACAGTACCTAGGTCCTGAGTTCAAGCCCCAGGACCAGCAAAAAAAAAAAAATTAGAAAAGGTTAAATTGTGGCGAAGGTATAATTCCTAGTAGATGTTTTACATCTGTTTTATTTAATCTGCCTTTGAGAATTAGCTGCTTTTCCTTTAGAATACTTTAAAAGCTTGTGTAATTTTAATACATCCATGTTCCTTCTTTGATGTGATTTAGGTTCATGTAAAATGGATTTTGGATACTGATATTTTCAATGAATGGATGAATGAGGAGGATTATGAAGTAGATGAAAACAGGAAACCAGTGAGCTTTCGTCAGCGGATTTCAACAAAAAATGAAGAGGTATTCCATTTTTTAACCACTATAAGAGTTTTTCCTTTCTAGTCCTAAATGTCTTTGTCTTCATTGATGAATTGTGTGTATCCGCTACCATTACATGTAAAAGTCACTGTAATCATCTCAAAGGGATATTGAGATTACCTGGCCTATGCAATATGGAATAGTACAGCTGATTTTCTCCTCAACTTAACTGATGGATTATCTTGCAGTTTGGTGCGGGCACTGGACATTTAATATCCTTTTTATTTTCTTTTTTTAAACTGATCCTGGTTCTTGAACTCAGGGCCAGGAGTCTGTCTTTGGGCTTTTTTGCTCAAGGCTAGTGCTGCAACACTTTGAGCTATAATTCCACTTAAAGTTTTTAAGGTCCTTAATTGGAGGTGTCTCATGTCCTGTCCTCTCTATCCCTGAGCTGGCTTTGAACCACAATACTCAGATCTCAGCCTCCTGAGTGGCTAGGATAAGGATGACAGCTGCTAGCACCCAGCTCTTTTTTTTTTTTTTGGTTGGTTGTAGGGTTTGAACTCTGCTCTTCAGTTCAAGGCGAGCGCTCTACCACTTGAGCCCCAGCGCCACTTCCCTTAATAGCCTTTAAAGGTTAAATATTTTATGTAAAAAAAATTAAGTACTTAAATGTTTACCTATGTCCTGTGATTACTTACAAGTCCAAACTCATGTGCTAAGTCTGTCATTAGAAGTCTTAAGATCAAGAAGAAAGGCTCCTTGTTGTTACTGTTGGATTTATGCCATTGTAAATAAGAGACTAGTAATTTTAAAGTCATTTTCATTGGGTGCATCTGAACTCTTTTTTTCTTTTATTTTAACTATTGTGGGGCTTGAGCTTAGTTAGTGCTCAGACACTGTCCCTGAGCTTTTTCTCTCAAGGCTAGTGCTCTGCCACATTCAACCACAGCACCATTTCTGGTTTTCTGGTGGTCAATTGGAGATAATAGTCTCATGGACTTTTCTTGTCCAGGCCAGCTTTGAACTGTGATCCTCCTCAGGTCACAGGTTTCTGAGTAGCGAAGATTATAGGCGGAAGCCACCAACATCAGGCTACTCTTTTTGTATTTTCTTTCATACATATATACATGGTGCTTTAAAAAACTGGGTCTTGGGCCTGTTGCCAGTGGCTCGCACCTGTCATCCTAGCTACTCAGGAGGCTGAGATCTGAGTGAAGATCACAGTTCAAAACCAGCCCAGGCATGAAAGTCCATGAGACTCTTATCTCCAATTAACCACCAGAAAACCAGAAGTGGCGCTGTAGATCAAGTGATAGAGTGCTAGTCTTGAGCTGAAGAGCTGAGGGACAAAGTCCCATGAATGCTTCAGATTTTCCCCAGATCACCTCAAATCTAAGATATTTTTGCTTCACCTTTTCTAGTGTGATTTCAGGTGTGTGTTACCATGTTTGGCTGAGACTTTCATTCTTTTTAAACCATTAACATAAAGTAAAACCTTTTCATGTTTTTCTTTTTTTTTTTCCTTTGTTAGTCATGGGGCTTGAACATAGGGTCTACGCTCTGTCCCTAAGCTCTGTCACTCAAGGCTAGTGCTCTACCACTTTGAGCCACAGCGCCACTTCTGTATTTTGAGTGGTTGATTATCTTTTTTAGCCTGTACTGGAGCTTGAACTCAGGGCCTGTGTTCTGTTCCTGAGCCTCTTGGTGCTCAAGGCTAGCATTCTACCACTTGAGCCATAGTGCTATTTCTGGATTTTTTTTTTTTTTTTTTTTGTAGAGTCTCAGGGGACTGCTCTGCCCAAACTGCAATCCTCAGATCTCAGCCTCCTGAGTAGCTATGATTACAGGCTTGAGCCACTGGCTACTGGTCTTTTTAGCTTATCTTGATCTAGGAATCTGACTTAATTTGAAAAAAAAATATATATATATATATATATATATATATATATATTTATTTATATAGTCAATGTAGGTGCTATGCTTGTAATCGTAGTTACTCAGGAGGCTGACATCTGAGAATTGTGACTCAAAACCAACCTGGGCAGAAAAGTCCCCATGAAACTCTTACCTCCAATTAACCAGTTTAAAAAAAAAAAAAGTGGAGTTATGGCTCAAAGTAGTAGAATGCTATCCTTGAACAAAATAAAGAGCTCAGGGGCATAGCCCAGTCCAGTTCAAGCCCTACAACTAATCAAAAAAATACCTTCTTTGGCAAATAGATAGGTTTACATATTTACTCTTAATACTTTGCTTTCTCCTTATTTTTTATTTCCTTTGTTCTCATCTTGGGAGTCAAACCTGGGGTCTTATGCATTAAAAGTCTTGTACCACCAGTTGCTGGTGGCTCCCACCTGTAATATAGTTTCTCGGGAGGCTGAGATCTGAGGATCGCGGTTCAAAGCCAGCCCGGGCAGGAAGATCTGTGAGATTCTTACCACCAGTTAAACACAAAAAGCTGACAGTGGAGCTATGGTCCAAGTGGTAGAATGCTAGCCTTGAGCACAAATGCTCAGGTTCAGTACCCCAGGGCCTGAGTTCAAACCCAAGGACCAGCACACACACCAAAAATGTCTTCTACCACTGAGCACTTTCCTTAGCCCAGAGTACTTTATATTGCAGAACACTTTCACAGGGTCATTTTCATATCTTTTCATTTCACTCATTCATTTTGTTTTGTATTTGTAGTTACTATATGAACATGAAGGCAAAGTTTGGAAGTGTTGATCATAAAGTGTTGCATTGTGGGATTTTTTCTTGATTGTTCCATTGAGAGATGTGAGAGGTGGCTGGTAGCAGTAGCCTTGGATGTTGCTATATCTACTATGGAACCTTAATTTTGGACAGAAGACTATAAAAACTGAGGAATCACCAAAGCTGATACTTATTTTCATTTACTTCTTCCTAGCCAGTCAGAAGTCCAGAAAGGAGAGATAGAAAAGCATCAGCTAATGCAAGAAAGAGGAAACATTCCCCTTCACCACCACCTCCCACACCTGCAGAATCACGAAAGAAGAGTGGAAAGAAAGGGTAAGAACTGAAACATGATTTAAAAATACAATTAATAAACTTTAGAGGACATCCCAGATGTGTACAATTGATATTGGAAGTTTGCTGAAAGTCCTACTTTGAACTCTTTGGAAGACTTATGGGCTGTTAGCTTATTGTGGGCTGTTTTCTTATTGGCATCTTGTTATATTTATACAAAAGCAGTCTTTTTTCTGTATGCAAATGTCTTGAGAAATGGGCCTGGGAAAAGTATAAGAATTCACATATACCGCTGGGCGCTGGTGGCTCACGCCTGTAATCCTAGCTACTCAGGAGGCTGAGATCTGAGGATCGGGGTTCAAAGCCAGCCCAGGCAGGAGAGACCGTGAGACTGCTATCTCCAATAAACAACCAGAAAACCAGAAGTGGCGCTGTAGCTCAAGTGGTAGAGCGCTCGCCTTGAGCTAGAGAGCTGAGGGACAGTGCCCAGGCCCAGAGTTCAAGCCCCACGACCGACAAAAAAAAAAAAAAAGAATTCATATATACCATAGTTAATGTCTTTTTCTCTGATTTGATTAACTTTCTCATTTGTATCAAACGAACTCAGAAGATAGGAACTGTCTAAGCACAGAATGGAAGAATTATTTTTTCTGCTAAATATGTTGTTATAGGAATTAAATGAGATTTTCAAAGCTTTGAACAAGCAGGAAACCGGGGACTCACACCCATAATCCAAGCTGCTCAGGAGGCTGAGGTCTGAGTATTGAGGTTCAAAGCTAGCCTAGTCAGGAAAGTCCGTGAGACTCTTTTTTTGTTGTTGTTGTGGTTGTTGTTGGTCGTGGAAGTGATGCTGTGGCTCATTGATAGAGCACTAGACTTGAACTCAAAGAGGGTTATGGACAGTGCTCAGGCCTGACTTCAAGCCCATGACTGACCAAAAAAAAGCCTTTGAACAATGCCTAAAGTATATATTTAATAAATGACATATTTAAAATTATTATAGAGGGGCTGGGAAGGTGGCTCAGTGATAGAGCGCTTGCCTTGCATGCATGAGGCCCTGGGTTCGATTCCTCAGCACCACATAAGCAGAAAAGAGTCAGAAGTGGCGCTGTGGTTCAAGTGGTAGAGCGCTAGCCTTGAGCTGAAGAGCTAAGGGACAGGGCCCAGGCCCAGAGTTCAGGCCCACAACTGGACCCAAAAAAAAAAAATTATTATAGATACATGATTTTGCAGACCTTCTGGTTTTGTCTTAGAAAATGGTAATGCAAACATTATTTTTCTAAATGTGTATATTTTTGAGTATAAAGAGTAGAGCTACTTTTGTGATTTTATTTATTTATTTTTCCTGGTCCTGGGGCTTAAACTTAGGGCCTAGGTGCTGTCCCTGGGCTTCTTTTACTCAAAGGTAGCACTGTACCACTTCAGCCAAACCTCTACTTCCTTTTTTTTTTCTTTTACTTGATTAGATGAGAGTCTCATAGACTAGCCATGATCTGCAGATCTCAACTTCCTCAGTAGCTAGGATTGCCGGTGTGAGTTACTATTGCCCAGTGACTATTTTTTATGTAAGTGATTATAGTGTGAGAGAGAAGACACCTTTTTTTTTTTTTTAGTCGTGGGGCCTGAACTCTGGGCCTGGACGCTGTCCCTCAGCTCTTCAGCTCAAGGCTAGCACTCTACCACTTGAGTCACAGCGCCACTCCCAGCTTTTTCTGCTTATGTGGTGCTGAGGACTTGAACCCAGGGCCTCATGCATGCAAGGCAAGCGCTCTACCACTGAGCCACCTTCCCAGCCCAGAAGCTGCCATATTTGTTTTTCCACCCCCTCCCACCTCCTGAGGGTGGGGAGGGGGGTGTTGAACTCAGAGCTTCATGCTCACTGGGCTTACTTGTTCATGGATGGTATTCAGCCACTTAAGCCATGAGTCTAGCCTTTGTCTTTGTCTTTACTGATTCATTGGAAATGGAGTCTTAAAGACTTGGAACCTTGAGTCTTAGATCTCCTGAGTAGCTAATTCAGGTGTTAGCCACTGGTTTGATGCAGCAGGTGTTTTGTTATATATACTAATTTAAGCTTCCTTTAGGACACTGTCAGCAGTTTGAATAGCAGGATTTCTTTGCCTCTTTCTTTCTTTTTTTTGGGGGGGGAGGGAGGTGTCCGGTCGTGGAGCCTGAACTCTGGGCCTGGGCACTGTCCCTTAGCTCTTCAGCTCAAGGCTAGCACTCTACCACTTGAGCCACAGCTCCACTTCCGGCCTTTTTCTTTTTGCTTATGTGGTGCTGAGGAATGGAACCCAGGGCCTCATGCATGCAAGCAAGCGCTCTACCACTGAGCTACTTTCCCAGCCCACCTGTTTCTTATACTGATAATTTCACTTTAATTTTTAAATCTCATTTTAATTTTTGATTACATGTAATTTGAGAATTGTGTATGATTTGATTTGTTTCTAAGTGTCTTTAGAAATGATTTCTAAGCATAATTTCTATGAATAATTTAGATATTCAAAAACAGTTTGCTCTAATAACTGTAATTGATCTTGCTTATATTTTTTTCTTGCTTATATTTTATGTACCTGTATGTTTTAGGCAAGCTAATCTTTACGGGAAGCGCAGAAGTCAAAAAGAGGAAGATGAGCAAGAAGATCTTACCAAGGACATGGAGGATCCAACTCCCGTACCTAATATAGAGGAAGTGGTACTCCCCAAAAATGGTTTGTATTCTTCTGTATCAGAACGGGTGCTAGATATAATTTTCTCCTGCAGTGATTAAGCTTTTCCTGTAGGTTCATACTTCTCAATTTTAAAATCTGAATGGATTTCTTCTTTTAAAATTAGCTTTTAATATTGCCATTCTTAAAGTAATTGGCTATTTCTTTATTGAAAAATCCATTGAGATTAAATAAGTTACCTACATCTAGAAATGCTTTCAAATTAATGAGTGTTGTAGTGTCAACAGAATTAATAATTCATATGGAAATCTTTAAAACTATATTAAACCTATTTAAGTTGCTAGATAATGGTTTATGTGGATACAAACTTGAAAGTATTGAATTTTATAGACCATACTTAACATATAAATAGTTGGCTAATTTCTGGCTTACTATTCTGTATATTGAAGCACAAAGTGTGTTTAAATATTTATGAACTTAAAAAAAATGAGCTTTGATTGTATGTATCCGCGGTGAACCTGTGATAAAATTTTCAAAAAGGCCCAGCACAATGCAAAGTAAAGACATGACAGGAATTGATTAATTTATTCTTTACGACCATCCTCCAGTGCATAAATAAGAGACATGTATGTCAGATAGAGACTTTTAGAGACTTTTCTTGTCCTGGGGCTTAAACTTTGGGTTAGTGTCGTATCCCTGAGGCTTTTTCCCCCCCCAAGACCTGGGGCTTGAACTCAGGGTCTAGACACTGTTTCTGAGTTTCTTTGCTCAAGGCTAGCACTCTACCACTTGAGCCACAGGGCCACTTTTAGCTTTTTCTGTTAGTGTGGTACTGAGGAAAAAAACCCAGGGCTTCATGCATGCTAGGCAAGCACTCTACCACTAAACTACTTTCCCAACCCTATCCCTGAGTTTTTATGCTCAGGGCCACCACTTCAGATACAGTTACACTTTGGTCTTTTTGTCGTTAATTGAAGACAAGAATCTCAGTGATGGGGCTCAGTGATAGAGTGCTTGCCTTGCATGCATAAGGCCCTGGGTTCAATTCCTCAACACCACATAAGCAGAAAAGGCCGGGGGTGCACTGTAACTCAAGTAGTAGAACACTCGCCTTGAACTGAAGAGCTGAGGGATAGCACCTAGGCCCAGAGTTCAGGCCCCATGGCCAACAAAAACAAAAAAGAATCTCACTGACTTTCCAGTGCATGATCCTTCTGTCTCAGGCTTCTGAGTAGCTAGTATTACAGGCATGGGCCATTGACGCTCAGCTTCAAATAGACCTTTATAGGTCGTATAGTTTAGTCAGCCTTTATGTGTTTACCAGTCTGGCACTTGAACTGGGGTTGTCTGTTCCTGAGGTTTTTGTGCCCCTGGCTAATGTTCTGCCACCAACAGCATAGAAATTAGAAAAAAAAATTAATATATTTTTTTTAAAGACAAGGGACTGACTGAACAGGTTTGTTAATATTTTGCGACTTGAAAAGTTAATTATAGAATCTAGTCTGTTAAGTGCTAATGTTTTACAGTTGAGCCTGTGGTATTATACATGAAGGTAAGTAGTAAGTTATGTAGTAGTTTCATGTTCTATTTTATAAAAACAGGACAATTTTTCCTCTGACCTTTCCTTTTTTTTTGTTTGTTTGTGTAATTTCTAGTAAACCCAAAGAAAGATAGTGAAAATACACCCGTTAAAGGAGGAACTGTAGCAGATCTAGGTAAGCCTATCAAATATAGTTTTCTCTTTTCCTCCCTCCTCTTTTTGGAAGTTCTATAGGTTGAACTCAGGGCTATCTGTTTGCTGCACAATTACTCTACTGCCTAACCGGTGACTCCATCCTTTTTTCCTTTACAAAGAAATGTTATTTTAAGCTGGGTGCCAGTGGCTCACACTTGTAATTCAAGCTTCTCTGGAAGCTGAGATCTGAGGATCACTGTTCAAAGCCAGTCTGGCTAGAAAGTCTGTGAAACTCCGATCTCCAATTGATCACCAGAAAATGGAAAATGGTGCTGTGGCTTAAAGTTGGTAAAGCACTAGCCTGGTTTGAAAAAGCTTAGGAACAGTGCCTAACCCCTGTGTTCAAGACTTACAACCAACAAAAACAAAACAATTATTGCTTTTAAGGTTACTAGGTTCACCAACATCAAATGTTTACTGGTTTCGATATTAACCAAGTTTATTTTTGGTTGGCTGTGGGGCTTGAATTCTGGGTCTGGGTGCTATCCCTCAGCTCTTCAGCTCAAGGTCTGCACCACTTGATCCAAGTGCGGCTTCTAGTTTTCTGGTGATTAATTGGAGATAAAAGTCTCACAGATTTTCCTGCCTGGGCTGCCTTGAACTGTGATCCTCAGATCTCAGCCTCCTGAGTAGCTGGAGTGACAGGCGTGAGCCACCAGTGCCTGGTGGTAACCAAGTTGATTTTTTTTTTTTTTTTTTTCATTTTCCATGATCTTATTTCAGAGCATACACTTCCAGAAGTTAGCAAAGCAGTAATGTTTCTCTTAAAAGTTTTTGGTATTTTTAGTGTATATTATACCTGTACAAGATGGGTTACATTGTGACATTGTAAACAATGTAAGCCATAACCTAATCAACCTCACACTCTCCTTCACTGCCAGTGCTTTGTATCATTGCACTGTATCCATCTCTCAGTTTCCTAAAGTCCCCAAGCCCATACCTAATGGCTGCAGATATAAGCTTCTATCCCCAGCTTCAGTTATTAATTCTCTTCTGTGTATCACCAAGTACTTTTTTGCTTTTCTTATTTAAAAATGTTTTTAAAAATTCATTGTTCATTCACTGGTGTTTCAAATAACGTATTCTTTGTTGGGATTATTTTTTGAGAAAATAAGTAGATTAAAGAATGACTTTCCCATGATCTTTATGAAAATTTGTCTGTGCTCATCACTACCAAAGGTCATACTGCTAATAAAAAGTAAATATTTTAAGCACTTAATAAATTATCTTTGTGCTATTACTTTAGACCCTCTTTGAGTATAGGCAGTTTTACTTTTCACTATTAAAATCAACTGCCTCATTTATGTTTTTGGTTATGGTTTTGTTTTTTGTCGATTGTGGGGCTTGAACTCTGGGCCTGGTCCCTGTCCCTGAGCTCTTCAACTCAGGGTGAACGCTCTATCACTTGAGCCACAGTGCCACTTCTGGTTTTTTTCTGCTTATGTCGTGCTGAGGGGCCTCATGCATGTGAGGCGAGCACTTTACCACTGAGCCAGCTTCCCAGCCCCTCATTTAATTTTTTTTTATGGGTTTGGCTCTGTTATTTTGTGACCCTATCCCTCTGAAGGTATTAACTTTTTTTGTTTATTTGTTTACCAATCCTGGGGCTTGAACTCTTGGCCCTGGGCCCTGTCCTTGGGCTCCTTTTGCACAAGGCTAGCACTCTACCACTTTGAGCCATAGCACCACTTCCAGGTTTTACTTTGATTAATTGGAGATAAGAGTCTCTTGGACTTTGCTGCCCAGGCTAGCTCAACCTCCAAATAGCTAGGATTATAGGCATGGCTTGAACTCCACAGTCCCCTTTTGTTCATGAACCTGTACTTCTGGGATTACAAAGCTATGGTGCCTGGCTCTTGCATTAACTCTTACTTAGGTTTTGTAGGAATTTATAATGTCATTTCCCCACTCCCCACTTTCCTCATTTACTTCCTCTGGAACTGAAAATTTACTTTGTCTCATCATTCCTTAGAAGACAAAGAGATTTCATCCTATCCCTTCCACCATCCTTTCCATCCACCTCTATGATATTAGCTCAACTAGCAATTTTAAGTTTATTCATTTGTTGGAAATTTTGAGTTAGCTCTGCTTTGTGTTTCTACCATATATACCTTTGAGGAAAAATACAGTTTAGTAAAGTGCTTTAATAATGGCCTCTTTCAGCCACGCACTGGTGGCTTACCCACCAGTAATCCACCAGAAAACAAAGTAGCACTATGGCTCAGGATGGTAGATTACTAGTCTTAAGCAAAAGAACTCAGCAACAGCTCCCACAACCCAAGTTCAAGACCCCGACCGGACAAAAAAAAATTTGTCTTTCAATGCTTTTTAAATGTCTATTTCCATTTCTAGTTTTCTGACCATAAAGATTTGATAAAATTCAGATAGCATTTTCCTGTTTTAAAAATGATATTTTTTCATCTGGGCACTGGTGGCTCACGTCTGTCTTCCTAGCTACCCAGGAGGCTGAGATCTAGGATCATGATTCAAAGCCAGCCTGGGCAGGGGAAGTCCATGAGACTCCTATGTCCAATAAACTACCAGAAAACTGGAAGTGCCACTGTGGCTCAAGTGGTAGAGCACTTGCCTTGAGCTGAAGAGCCGAGGGATAGCACCCAGGCTCAGAGTTCAAGCCCTACAACCAACAAAAAAATGATATCTTGCCCATGTAATTGTAACCCCTCTGTATGGTATTTTAATAATTAAAAATATAATAATAGTCTGTTTTGATTTTACAGATGAGCAGGATGAAGAAGCAATTACGACAGGAGGAAAGGTAAATGCTTTAAAAGTCTTATGTTGCTACTAGGGCTTCAATTGAGTGCCTGGGCACTGTCCCTTAGCTTTTTTCCTTAAGTCTTTTCCTTAAGACAGTGCCCAGGCCCAGAGTACAGGCCCCACAACCAACAAAAAAAATAAAGAATACATACAAAGAATACCAAAGGCCATGCCAGCCATGGTGGCTACTTCTCTCATCTCAGCTACAAAGTAGTCTGAAGCTAGTCCTGCTAAGCCCCTGTCTGAGAAAACCAAAGTTGGCTAGGAGTACTTAGTAGAGTGTTTGTAAACACTTTGCAGCAAGTTCCGTCTCTAGTACCACCCAAAACTTACTAAAATACTGATATCCTAAGAATATATTTTGCCAGTTTCCATGATTTAAAGATTGAATTTTGTCACCAGCATCAACATTTAATTAACAATTGAGTTCCCTAGTTTCCTGATTCTCATGGTGGTACTTAGGATTAGGACTAAATTCTGAGCCTCAACCTTGTTATCTAGAGACTCTCCCACTTGAGCTATGCCTCCAGTCTTCTTAGCTTTCTTTCTTTTTTTTTTTGGTGGGGGGGGGCCTGGGCGCTGTCCCTCAGCTCAAGGCTAGCGCTCTACCACTTGAGCCACAGCGCCACTTCCGGCTTTTTTCTTTTTGCTTATGTGGTGCTGAGGAATCAAACCCAGGGCCTCATGCATGCAAGGCAAGTGCTCTACCACTGAGCCACCTTCCCAGCCCTCTTTTTTTTTTTCCCATACATAGGACCTCACATTTTGTTAACATGCTGCCTGGGACTGAGCTCCTCTTAATTTCGGCTTCTCAAGTAGCTAGGACAATAAATGTGGACCAGCTCTGCCACTTACTTGATTAGATGGCGCGGGAGGGTGTCTCACTTTGCCTTGGCTGGCCTCAAACCATGATCCTCCTGAATAGCAAGGTAATAAGCTTGAAGCACAGATGTATAGTCTCATCTTCTGTGTGTGCGTTTATTAACTCAGTGTTAAACTGGGCCTTGTATATTACAGGTTTGTATTTTTAGTCAAAATGCCAGTTTTTAGTTATTCATTTATTTGTTGGTCGTGGAGCTTGAATTAAGAGTCTCACAGGAACTTTTCTGTTCAGGCTAGTTTCAAACTATGATCCTTAGATCTCAGCCTCCTGTGTAGCTAGGTTATAGATGTGAGCCACTGGTACCTGGCTTATATAATACGAATTCTTTTTGTTTTACTTAATTTCAGCTTTCTGGACAGAACTTTCTGTAGACCTCAATCCTCATAACTCTGCCTCTCCTGTAGCCAGGATTGCTAAGCATATACCTACATGTCTAGTAAGAAATCTTAATTTTTGTGGGGAGTAGTGGTAGTGTTGGAAGTCAGAGCCTTGAATTTGCTATGTAAATGCCCTACCTCTTGAGCCTCATCCCCAGTCTTTAAAATACTATTTTAACATAATGATTATCATAGTTCTAGCATCATTAGACATACTGTGTCGGGGGCTGGGAAGGTGGCTCAGTGGTTGAGCGCTTGCCTTGCATGCCTGAGGCCCTGGGTTCAATTCCTCAGCACCACATAAGCAAAAAGAAAAAAAAAAAGACTGGATTTCTAGACATACTGTGTCTTCAATTGAAAGAATTTCTTACGCTTGCACATACCAGATAAAAACCAGTTAATTTTTAAATAGTAATTGGTATTGTAGCTGTTGCGGGGCGTGAGGGGGATTTATATTATGTGTATACATGATAAATAATGAAAGACTTTTTAGTAATGTATTATAAAATATTTGATCTTGTTTTCTCTAAAAATTTAAGTATCATTAAATCCCCCCAAAAAACAAGAGACAAGAATTAAAGGAAAGTTAAGAGATGTATGAATCGTTACTTGCTGTTATTATCAGGGGGTTGTGAAGAATAACTATGATTATACATAGGCTGTTAGGAAGAAAGATGGTCTAGATATGCTCTGTTAGTATCCTTGACCACCTTGTAAGTAATAATCAGAGCTGGGCACTAGTGACTCACACCTGTAATCCTGGCTTCTTGGGAGACTGAGATATGAGGATCACAGTTCAAAGCCAGTTCAGGCAGGAAAGTCCATGAGACTCATCTCCAAATTAACAAGCAAAAAGCAGGAAATGGAGTTGTGGTTCAAGTGGTAGCCTTCAGCAAAAAAAAAGCTTAGGGACAGCACCCAAGGTCCTGAGTTCAAGCCCCAGGACCTGCACACACAAAAAAAAGAAATCAGAATTAGCAATTTGATCGTGACCTAGGATTAAGTAAAACTGCTCCTCCAATCAGAACAAGCTATTGTGGAAGGCAAGATGGGCAATGAAAGTTGTCCTTGAAATCAGATCCATTGTCTTCATTGTATTTGACCTACTATGAGAAGTCTGCTGTATTTTTGTTTTTCTCTCTTTCTGACATGGACTTTTTTTTCAATAGGAAGATGAAGATCCTAGCAAAGGTGATCAGAGCCGGTCAGTTGACTCTGGTGAAGATAATGTAACAGAACAGACCAATCACATTATCATTCCCAGCTATGCATCCTGGTTTGATTATAACTGGTGAGTGGGTCAGTTCATCTGTAAGTGTGGTAGATGAGGTGTGGGAGATCTTAACCATCAAATCAGGTTCTGTCAGGAAACAGTTAAAGTAGATGAAGGAAAACAAAGTGATCATCTTTGCAAAATGTTTTATAGAATAATTTAAGGATAAAAGTGGTTGTAATTTTGGATTGTAAAATTTTGTAAGTTTTAACTTAAATAATATTTTTTTTAGCTTCATGGCAATTTGGTTACATTCTTTGATTACAAAGGACGCATCCAGTGTAATTAATTTTGAATAATAGTTGTTGGATTTATCACTTTTACTTTTAAAGTTGAACAAAGAATAGCTCAAATTTTAAGATTTTTCTCTTTCAAAGAAGTTTCTCAATCTTCTTTTTTTCTTTCCCTTTTAGTATTCATGTGATTGAACGGCGTGCACTTCCTGAGTTTTTCAATGGAAAAAACAAATCAAAGACTCCAGAAATGTGAGCCTTATATTTTAGAAAACTTGTCTGTGTTTTTATACCAAGAAGTGTTAAATGATACTTCTCAGTTTGCTATTGCTGCTGTTTGGAAGTTAGCAAATACCTTATTCCATTCAGAACATTGTCCATATCTCATTTTCACAGTTTCCCTTACTATAGAAGAAATTAGTGCCAGGCACCAGAATACCATGCCTATAATCCTAGCTACTTAGGAGGCTGAGATCTGAGGATCCCATTTGAAAGCCAGCCTGAGCAGACAAGTCCATGAGAATTTAATCTCCAATTAGCCAGCAAAAAAAAAAGCTGGGAGTAGAGCTATGGCTCAAGTGGTAGATTGCTGTCCTTGAGCACAAAAGCTCAGAGACAGTGCCCAGGTCCAGAGTGGAAGTCCCAGGACTGGCAAAAAAAATAAAACTACAAAGTAAATTAGCATATTTTTGAAAAACTTACTATATCCACATCCATTCTTTCATTTAAAGATAGAATTCAGCAAAAGGTATTTAGTTCAGTTTTCTCGTATGCATGTGTAATAATCCTGTAGAATGTGGAATGTCCATTTATCTTCCTGATGGTTACAATGATGCAGCTGCATGTGAATTGAGGTTAATTGCATAGGTCATGGCTATGCTTGTGCATTGGGAATAAGAAAAACTTAACTGAAAGGAGGAGATTTACCAGGAAGTATTTTTGTGTTTTTCTGTGATCTATCAGCATACTCTTCTATAGTCCATGGATTTAAGTGGATTTTTAAAGGCTTTTACATGTAGAAGATAATTTCAGCCTTCTCTTGGAATGCCTTTGAGATTCAGATAAATCAAGAATGACAGATTTGACATAAGAAGCCCTGATAGATTTTGCACTTGTTCAGACATGATGTGTTCTTCCAGCTTATTTGCCTGTCATATTTGTGACTATTGTATTTTGGTAATTTTCTTCTTAAAAACAAATCTTGTATATTAGTCAGTTTCACTTTTTAAGTGCATCTTTCAGTCTTAAGTATTTTCTAGGCTTATTTCTGTATCCTTTTTGGGGCAGCGTACTCTCTTTCTACTCAGCTGTAGCTCCCCTCAGGCTGCCGTACTTGCCATTTGTGTGCCAACTTATTAAGCTTCAAAGTCCTCGATACCTTTGAGAATTTAAATATATTTTGAGGCTGTGTTTGTTGTTGTTGTTGTTGTTTTTTGGTCCGTCATAGGACTTGAACACTGGGCCTGGGCACTGTCCCTCAGCTCTTCAGCTCAAGGTGAGCACTCCACCACTTGAGCTACAGCACCACTTCTGGTTTTCTAGTGGATTTTTGGAGATAGGAGTCTCACGGTCTTTCCTGCCCAGGCTGGCTTTGAACCGTGATCCTCAGATCTCAGCCTCCTGAGTAGCTAGGATTACAGGCATGAGCCACTGGTGCCTGGCTTGAAGGCAGTATTTTTTTTGTATATTGTGTTATCTGTAACACATTACTTTTTTTCTTTCATTTTGTTATGTTTTTGTCTCCTTCTACTTGTTGCATAAACCAGAAGGTATGTTACTGTTAAGGTTCTGGGAAGGTTATAGAGGTGAAATTACACTCTACTTTGGTTTTCTCATCTGGAGATGGGATCATAATAAACCCCATGTTACAGAAAGCTTTTGAATATTTAGTTACTGCATGGAAAGTGCTTGATGTGTAGGCAATGGGTTAACTGAGTTAGCTTGGTATTCTTCAGGCAACCATTAATCATGAACCTCCATCATCAAGTTTATGTTTATGACTTGACAGTAATCTCATCACAATACTTAATGAGTTGTTATGTAGAGCAAATATATATGTATATATATTAGAAAAGCTTAAATACTCAATGCTGTGTTACCCATAATTCATTGATATCTTAATTTTCTGTTGCATATGGTTGTGAACAATCAGAAGAAATACGGTGCTGTAAGTTACTGATTCTGAAAGGATACACATCTGCTTCATGAACTTTGCCCTTGCTTTTTTCAGATACTTAGCATATCGAAACTTTATGATTGACACATACCGTCTAAACCCTCAAGAGTATTTAACCAGCACTGCTTGTCGAAGGAACTTAACTGGAGATGTATGTGCTGTGATGAGGTAAGATGCTGGACTTTTTCTCAGCTATTTCATTGCAAGTGGTTACTGATGCATTGCTGTTTAATATTTGATTAAGCTGTACATTTCCTTTTACTTTTTTTTATGTGATAGTAGTAGTAGGGTTTGAACTTGGGTTTGCACTTACTAGGCTGGCACTACCCATCTGTTTTTAGTTATCCTTGAGACAGTGTCTCCTGTTCATGCTTAGTCCAGTGTGAACTTCGGTCTTCCTATTTACTCTTTCTGCGTAGCTAAGTGACAGGCATGCTTCATCACACCCAGCCTGTTCATTTTCCTTATCTAGCCTCATGTCTCAATATTCTGATCTCAGCTTCCCCAGTAGGTGGGATTTACAGGTCTGAGCCTGTTGATCAGCCTGGGTGTTTCTGATTAGTAAAACATTTAAATCTTAATTTTTATATCTTTAGTTCAGTATTTTTAAATGCTCAATTCCGTTTTTCTAGATTTTATACTTGCTATCTTTTTGTATATTACATAGTCAGATCATAAGATTCTGAGTGGGAGGTGAGGGGAAGGCACCTGTAATCCCAGCTACTTAGGAGTCTGAGATCTGAGGATTTTGGCTCAAAACCTGCCCAGGGAGGGAAAGTCTGTGTGACACTCTTTCTAATAAACTATCAAAAAGCCAGAAGTATAGTTGTGACTCAAGTGGTAGTAGGCTAGCCTTGAGCAAAAGAAGCTTCCGAACAGTACCTAAGCTGAGTTCAAGCCCCAGATCAGCACCCAAAAAAAAAAGAAAAAGAAAAAAACTGTCTTAGAGGAAACCCAGAATGTGTATTTCCTTCTGTGAATTGGGTTTTAGTGTAAGTTCTTTGATCATGTGCATAAATGAGCATTTGTTTTCTTGTTAACATAATTAAATGATTGGATTTTTGTACTAAGTCTCGAGGTTCTGTGTTATTAACATTATTTTGGGTTTGTAGATGTTTTCTTTTATACACAGAACTGAATGTGTTGGGGCTGGGAAGGTGGCTCAGTGGTAGAGCACTTACCTTGCATGCTCGAGGCCCTGGGTTCGATTCCTCAGCCCCACATAAGCAAAAAGAAAAAAGCCGGAAGTGGCGCTGTGGCTCAAGTGGTAGAGTGCTAGCCTTGAGCTGAAGAGCTGAGGGACAGCGCCCAGGCCCAGAGTTCAGGCCCCACGACCGGAAAAAAAAAAAAAAGAAGTGAATGTGTTGCATACATGTTGATTTCCAGCCCATAGAGAGCCATGTAACTTTTATGTTTGTATGCATATTCATTTTTTTACTATTTGTTGATGGGTGTAGAGTTGAAGTTAATTCTTTATATTTTAATCTTTGGGGCTTTATTCCTTAGGGTGCATGCGTTTTTAGAGCAATGGGGACTTGTTAATTATCAAGTTGATCCAGAAAGTCGACCTATGGCAATGGGACCCCCTCCTACTCCTCATTTCAATGTATTGGCTGATACCCCCTCTGGGCTTGTGCCTCTGCATCTTCGATCACCACAGGTAAAGTAGTGCTGTATTTTTTTAGGCATAGACATGAACAGAAACTACATAAAGCATTTCTATTTAGGGGTAATTCTTGCTGTAATGTGATAGTCTTTTGGTGCTGTTTCTTAGCTAATAGTTTTTTGGCTTATGAATGTGTTATGTTTTTTAGTATACAAATGTTCAAGTCCATAAAAATATGTAGCTTATTAGGGACTGCTCTCCTGCCAATTCTAAGTAGATTATTCCTTATACTATGATATCATACTTTCAACCTTTTTATCCGTCTGCCATCAAGTTGCAAATAAAAAAGCAGATACCATAAAATTTTCATGCATCCCCTATCCTATAAATGTGAATTTAAAGTCTTCATAACTTTATGAAAAATTTGAAGAGTAGGCATCTGTGTGCACATTGTTGAAAATTATAAAATAACATTAGATTGGGGAAATAGAACCTAAGCTATAAATTTCCCTCGTTGTGAAATAAAAGATTATGTCCAAGATAAACTTCCCTTTTAGAAAGAAACACCAAAAGTGTTTCTTTCATGTTGAATTTTTATTAGATCTATAGTCTGAAAGTATATTTACTTTTTTCTTTTTTTTTCCCCAGCCATGGGCTTAAACTCAGGGCCTGGGCACTGTTCCTGAGCTCTTTTGCTTCAAGGCTAGCACTGTACCACTTAAGCCAGAGCTTCACTTCTACATTATTTTGGTAGTTCAGTGGAGATTAGAGACTTTCCTACCTGGACTTTGAACCAGAGTCCTCAGATCTCAACCTCCTGAGTAACTAGGATAACAGAGTGAGCCACCCACACCCAGCGTGATTTTTTTTTTTTTTTTTTTAGAAGGAAAATCTTATCAGCCAGATGCTGGTGGATTATGCCTGTAACCCTAGCTACTCAGGAGGCTGAGATCTGAGGTTCCAGGTTTAAAGCCAGCCTAGGCAGGAAAGTTCGTGAGATTCTTATCTCCAGTTAACGTACAGAAAACCGCAAGTGACACTGTGGCTCAAGTGGTAGAGTACTCACCTTGAACTGAAGAGCCTAGCATCAAGCAGCCAGGCACAGAGTTCAAGCCCCATGACTGACCAAAAAAAAAAAGAAAAATTACCAGAAATGAAATTTTCCATTCTTTTATTTTTTCTAATTGGTTTGAAATATTTGGAAGTATAGATTCTAGCATTATATAAACAGAGGTCTCTTTTTACATCATGGGCTAGATAGTCTTTTTTTTTTTTTTTGTGAAAGTACTATACAGAGGAGTTACAATTACATGGGCAAGATAATGAGTACATTTCTTATCAAGCATTGTAGCCTCCTCCTTTGTTTCCCCTTCCCATCCCTTCCCATCGTTTCCCTACCCCCCCACCCAGTTCCCCCCCACGAAAGTTGTAAAGTTCGTTTTCAACATAACGACTTGTACATCTCATTGTTGCAATGGGTCCACCTGTATCCCTATTTAAACGATTTGTTTTTCCCCTTCCCCTCCACAAATTATACCGACATCAAATACAGTGAAAGCAGGGGCTATACTGTGGGGGAGGGACATACAAAGCAGCAAAGAAGTAATCTTATAAATGTGTTAGAAACAATTGCATGAAAGAAAAAAAAGATTAGAATACATTTTAGGGTTCATTTCCCTAACATCACCTTATCTGACCTTTTCTGCTTGACTCAGACATATACTAGATAGTGCAAATAAGGGAAACCATGGGACCTATGTTTCTTTGGGCCTGGCGGCTAGATAGTCTTAAAAGTAGTGTGGAGTTCAATTTTCTTACAAGTAATATTTACTAAAAGTACTACCCACTTCCACAAATGTAAGGGTTGATATAAACTCTTCAGTTGCCAGCATACCCTACTATGTACAGATATTAAAATCATATGATCTTAGCTTTTTTAAATATTTTATCCTCTGAACTTTTCACAGGTTGATATTGTCAGTTTTTGTCTGTCTGATTCTAGGTTCCTGCTGCTCAGCAGATGTTAAATTTTCCTGAGAAGAACAAAGAAAAACCAATTGACTTGCAGAACTTTGGTCTTCGTACTGACATTTACTCCAAGAAAACATTAGCTAAAGTAAGGAGTTGTCTTTGTCTTTTAATGTGTGTCATTTTTATGAAAAAGTATGATTTATATTCTGGGGAAGTGAGCTTTTTACTGCATTTTATAAAACAACATCTTACCTTTTTCCTCGAACTCTGTGGTTCACAGATAGGAATTTGCGATAACTACAACTAGTATTTCTGAAAATAATTTAGTTTACCTATTACCACATCTATGGTGAAAAATATCAATAGAATCTTGGTCCAGGCCTGCCAAGACAAAAAGTAGATTCTGTCTTAAAAATAGCCAAAGCTGGCCGGGCACTGGTGGCTCACGCCTGTAATCCTAGCTACTCAGGAGGCTAAGATCTGAGGATCGCAGTTCAAAGCCAGCCCGGGCAGGAGAGACCGTGAGACTCCTATCTCCAATAAACCACCAGAAAACTGGAAGTGGCGCTGTAGCTCCACTTGTAGTAGTAGAGCGCTCGCCTTGAGCTGAAGAGCTGTGGGACAGCACCCAGGCCCAGAGTTCAAGCCCACGACCAACCAAAAAAAAAAAAAAATAGCCAAAGCTGCCAGGCACCATTGGCTCACACCTGTAATCATAGCTACTCAAGAGGCTGAGATCTGAGGATTGAAGTTCAAAGCTAGCCCAGGTAGCAAAGTCCATGAAAATATTCTCCAATTAATCTTTGAAAAGGCCAACCTGGGCAGGAAAGTATGTGCGACTCTTATCTCCAATTAGCCACCAGAAAACTGAAAGTGGTACTGTGGCTCAAAGTGGTAGAGCAGTATCCTTAATTGAAAAAGCTCAGGGACAGCACCCAAACCCTGAGTTCAAGTCCCATGACCAACAACAACAGCAAAAAAGCCAGAGCTGCTAGTCATCATTGGCTCTTGTCTGTAATCCTAGCTACTCGAGAGGTTAAGATCTGAGGATCACAGTTTGAATTCAAAGCCACAATGGGCAGGAAAGTCTAGAGATTCATCTCTAATTAACTCAAAGCTCCAGAAGTGCAGCTGTGGCTGAAGTGATATAGCACTAGCCTTGAGCAAAAAAAAATTCTGACAGCACCCAGGCCCAGAGTTCTCAAACACACACATAACACAAATAGAACAGGCTGGGCTTGGTGGTTTTATTCTGTAATCCTTGACACTTTGGAATCATTATTCTTTGGTAGTTTATTGGAGGTAAGAGTCTCACAGACTTTTCCTGGGCTGGATTAGTCAGAATCCTCATATCAGCCTCTTGAGTAGTAGGATTGCAGACTTGAGACACTGGTGCTCAGTAGGATCATGATTCTTCATGGCCAACTTAGACAAAAGGTTTGTGAATTCTGGGCACTGGTTCAGGCGTACACTCCAGTTACTCATGACTGGAGGATATGACTCAAAAAGCCAGACTGTGCAAAAAAAATATATATCTATCTTGACTCTTATCTCCAAAACTAAAAAGCTAAATCTGGAATGAAAATGTGTCTGAAGTAGTAGAGCACAATTCAAGTAAGCTGGAGACCCTGCACTTAAACCCTGGTATCAACATAAAAGATAGGGGTACTTCCTGGTTTCCCAGACTATACTTTAAGATACAGTGGGCCAGTTGCTTCTTCTCTATTGGGCTCTGATTTGATTCTCCAAAGTTCATCACATACCATCTTACGCAATGGCTGGGTGTGGTAGCACATGGCCTGTCATCCCAAGCTGTGGAGGCAGTTTACTGGCTGGGTGCCATGGTACACACCATCATCAAAATGAAGGGAAGCACAAATTGATTGGAGCCCAGGTTGATATAAAGAGAATGTCCATCTCAAAAATAATAAATGCCACAGGCTGTCAGGATGGCTTAAATCATGAAGTGCCTGCCTAGCACTTCATGAGTTGAAAACTAATATTGCCAAAACACACACACACAACACCAAAAGCTGCTGGCATGACTTTTTCTTAAATCTTGTATTTATTAAGGGATTTACCTTGGTGTTTGCATAGCATACATAGTCCACTGAGTTCCATCTATATTCACCTTTTTGAGTGACTAATTTCTGATTTTACTTTTCTAGAGCAAAGGCGCTAGTGCTGGAAGGGAGTGGACGGAACAGGAGACCCTTCTGCTCTTAGAGGTAAACTGATGAGTGTTGGATCCCATTTTCCTCATAAGAGACTACATGTGTGTTAAAATGTGGTGGCGAACATCTTAAATACACTTGTGATGTACAACGAAAAACGAGTCCAGTTTAACACGAGTACAGCCCTCAGGAAATGCAGCTGGTTGTTTTGTTGTGAAGTATGATAGTGCAGAACCAAGTTCATAGAATTCTCACTGCCTTGACTTGAGCTAAGATGCCACCATGCCTTTTGTACCATCAGCACCAGTGTTGGCATAATGAACAAGGCATTGAGGTCTAGTTTTGTCATGAATATTATTGTCCTCATAGTCCTCCTAAAAGAGTCAGGTGCTACTTGGGTTTCCAGAGCATAGTTTGAGATACAGTGGGCAGATAGCTTCTTGTTCTCTTCAGTGCCCTGACTTGATTCCCTAGTTCCAACAGTTGAGGTTCCTTTAGAATTAAACAGTGTCAACTGGTTCACACCTGAAATCTTAGCTTTTCAGCCAGCTGAGGTCTACAGGATTACAGTTCAAGGCCAAACTGGACAGAAAAGCCTGTGTACCTCTAAAATAACCAGAAAAAGCAAATGTTGGAGGTGTGACTCAGGTAATAGAGTATCAGCTGAGCAAGTGCTCAGAGTGCCTATACTTCACACCCTAGTACTGGCAACCAAGAAGAAAACAATTTCTTTTTCAATTTCTTTTTTATGCTCTTTCTTCTTTGCTCTTTGTTCTTTTCCCCTCATTTCTGTCTCACTCAGACACTGTCTCTTTCCCTTTCTCCCTCTCATCTTTCCCTGTTGCCTCGTACATTTCTTTGTCTATAGATAAGTAGCTCAGAAAGATTTCTTTTCTTTTCTTTTTGCCAATTGTGGGGCTTGAACTCAGGGGTTGGGCACTGTCCCTGAGCTTCTTTTGCTCAAGACTAGTAGCACTCTACCACTTGAGCCACAGCACCAGTTCCAGCCTTTTCTGATTATGTGGTACTAAAGAATTGAAGCCAGGGCTTCATGCATGCCAGGCAAGCACTCTACCACTAAGCCACCTTCCCAGCCCCTCTTCTACTATTTTAATTTAGTCTCATTTGTCCATTCAGTATCATCGATGTAGAAACATTGGCTTTTCTTCTGTTTCAAACTGGTTTCTGGGTGTATCTGCCATGGATGTTCCTTAAAATGTATAGTGTTCTCACTACTTAATAAGAGAGTAGGACGTTTCTGTATTATTATTTTGGAATCTTTGGTCTGTAAGGAAAACTTCATTTGTACAACACTGTCTGGAATAGTTCTTTTTTTTTTTTTTGGTCCATGGTGGGCCTTGAACTCTGGGCTTGGGCATTGTCCTTGTGCTCTTCAGCTCAAGGTAAGCGCTCTACTGCTTGAGCCACAGCACCACTTCTGGTTTTCTAGTGGTTTATTGGAGATAAGAGTCTCACGACTTTCCTGCCCGGGCTGGCTTTGAACCCTGACCCTCAGATCTCAGTCTCGTGAGTAGCTAGGATTACAGGCGTGAGCCGTCGGCGCCCGTTTTGGAATAGTTCTTTTTATTGATGATCTCTATTTTCTTTGCTTCTACGTTTTAAGATTGGTGGATAGTAAATACAGAGTGAGGTAAGAATGACTGAGCTCTCGTTTATCTTGAATATATCCAAGAAAACCACAGTGCCCACAAACACTAGTATATTTTCTTTCCTGCAGGTGGAATCGGTGCTGTGGTTGTGTTTTCTTTTAAACAGGCAATTGAGTCAACATCTATTATCTGCCTTTACAAAGAGAAATAAAAGGCTTCTCAACAATATTGTTTACCACTAATATCCTCCATTTGTGTAATTTATTTAGAGTAGTTATTTGCTTAAAAGCCAGGTGTGATAAGCATCCTATAATCCTAGCACTTAAGAGGCTAAAGCAGGAAGACTGCTAGCTCAAGGCTAACCTGGGCCATTTATCAAGACGTTGTCTCCAAAAAAAAAAAGATAAAAAAGAAAAATAAGCAGTACAAAATGTAATGAAAATCTTTTGATGGATTCATAGTAAAACATTTAGATGTCTGTAATAATTTGATAAGCAAGGTAGAGTCGAGATTAGTTTATGAAAAAGCATCATGCCGTTTTATAAACTAAAGTGTGGTATTCTAAATATTTCTGATGATTCTTGAGACAGTCTACTTTTCCTTTAAAATAACTCATCTTTTTGGGGGGGGGGGGGATCCGGTTGTGGGGCCTGAACTCTGGGCCTGGGCACTGTCCCTCAGCTCTTCAGCTCAAGGCTAGCACTCTACCACTTGATCTACAGCGTCACTTCTGGCTTTTTTTTTTTTTTTTTTTCCGGCTTATGTGGTGCTGAGGAATCGAACCCAGGGCCTCATGCATGCAAGGCAAGCGCTCTACCACTGAGCCACCTTCCCAGCCCCACTCATCTTTTTTTTTAATCAAAGATCATTCTTGAGTGTATGTTGAATGTTAGTACCTTTGGTCATACTTCCTTGTCATAAATATTTTTCCAATTTAAAATTGCTCATATTATTCTATACAGAAATATGGTTGGGTTTTTCCTCTAAGGCATTCCATCTCTTAAGAGGCATATCCTCAACCTATTTCTATTTTAGTTATGTTTCCTGTGTTTTTGCCCAGGTCCAGCCTCAACCTGTAATCCTCTGACCTCTACCTCCGGTATTTTTACATAATAGGCTTGAGTTACTGTCCTGGTTATTGGTTGAGTGGCGCTGTGGCTCAAGTGGTAGAGCGTTAGCCTTGAGCTGAAGAACTAAAGGACAGCACCCAGGCCCAGAGTTCAGGCCCCATGACGGACACACACAAAAAAAAACACACACACAACTATTATCTGTTCTTTTTAAATATAGAGTATGACCATTGGTGCTCTTACTTTAGATTTTTGAGACAGAACTCTATGTAACTCAGGGTGTCCTAGAAGCCTAAGGTGATTCCTCCTGTGTCAGCCTCCCAAGTGCTGCTATTACAGGTACATGTCCCTGTCCCTGGCTCCTTTCTAATTTTTTGGAACTGTTATCTAGGTATACATCTGAAATCCTATCACTTGAGGTTGAGGCGGGATTAGGAGCTCAAGGCCAACCTGGCCTACAAAGCAAGGCTTTTTTTTTTCTTTCTAAATGACATTCATTTTGCTACATAACTACTTTCTTGATATTTGACATCAAATGTCAATTTTAGGCTCTGGAAATGTACAAGGATGATTGGAATAAAGTATCCGAACATGTGGGAAGTCGGACTCAGGATGAATGCATCCTTCACTTTTTGAGGCTTCCCATTGAAGACCCATACCTGGAGAATTCAGATGCTTCCCTTGGCCCGCTGGCCTATCAGCCTGTCCCCTTCAGCCAGTCTGGAAACCCTGTCATGAGTACTGTTGCTTTTCTGGCATCTGTGGTGGACCCTCGCGTGGCTTCTGCTGCAGCAAAAGCAGCACTAGGTATGGATGCTTAGCTTTATTTCAAATTTAAGGATTTCCAGCTGTTAAACGTTAATGGTTTTTACATTAAGAACCAAAGGGGACATTTAGCCTAAAGAAACTAGGTACTTTATATTCCTAACAGTTTTAAATAAAACACTTTTATTATAATAGTTGATAAGTTGCTGCTTTTCTTTTTTGGTAGTACTAGAATTTGAACTGTGTCAGACACCTTAATGATCTTAACTTTTAAACAAATATTTGTGTAAGTGAGCTTACTATTACATTTTTATTCTTGAACCAGAGGAGTTTTCTCGGGTGCGAGAAGAGGTACCACTGGAATTGGTTGAAGCTCATGTCAAGAAAGTACAGGAAGCTGCTCGTGCCTCTGGGAAGGTGGATCCCACCTATGGCTTGGAGAGCAGCTGTATTGCAGGCACAGGGCCTGATGAGCCAGAGAAGCTCGGTGAGTCACTACTGTGCCTTAGGACCAGGCTATTATTTGGTGCCCTGCTGACTTACTGAAATGCTAGAGTTTGCTCGAACTTAAAAAAACAATTGCTGGCCTCTCGACAGTGGCTTGGGCCTGTAATCCTAGCCACTCAGGAGGCTGAGATCTGAACATCAGGGTTCAAAGCCAGCCGGGGCAGGAATCTGAGACTCTTACCTCCAGTAAACCACTCAAAACAAGAAGTGCTGCTGAGGCTCAAGTGGTAGAGTACTAGCCTTGAGCTAAAGAGCTGAGGGACAGCGCCCAGGCCCAGAGTTCAAGCCCCAGGACCAACAAAAAAAGAAAACAATTGAAAACAATTGCTGTAAATTTGTCTCAGAAGATTAGTATATGAATGTATGTGACAACTTTTTCTTACATAGTTTTTTTTTGTTTTTGTTTTAAATCATGGCTAGAATTTCTAACAGCTAACAGTATCACAGTTACGAATATTTGCTGACAATAGGCTTTGGTCGAGAATCTGTTGAATTTCTATGGTTGATATTTTGCTGATTTTTTTTTTTTTTTTTTGGTCAGTTGTGGGGCTTGAACTCAGCCTGGGCGCTGTCCCTCAGCTCTCAGCTCAAGGCGAGCGCTCTACCACTTGAGCCACAGCTGTATTTCGGTTTTTTCTGCTTATGTGGAGTAGAGGAATCGAACCCAGGGCCTCATGCATGCGAGGCAAGCACTCTACCACTGAGCCTTCTTCCCAGCCCTGTGTTTTGTTTTGACAGTTGTGGGGCTTGAACTCAGGGCTGGGCACTGTCCTTGAGCTTTTTGCTAGTGCTCTACCACTTTGAAACACAGCACCACTTTGGGTTTTCTGGACAATACTTGCTGATAGGAGTCTCACAAGCCGGGCGCTGGTGGCTCACACCTGTAATCCTAGCTACTCAGGAGGCTGAGATCTGAGGATCGTGGTTCAAAGCCAGCCCAGGCAGGAGAGACCGTGAGACTCCTATCTCCAATAAACCACCAGAAAACTGGAAGTGGTGCTGTAGCTCAAGTGGTAGAGCGCTCGCCTTGAGCTGAAGAGCTGAAGGACAGCACCCAGGCCCAGAGTTCAAGCCCCACGGCGGACTAAAGAAAAAAAAAAAGAGTCTCACAGACTTTCCTGCCCAAGCTGACTTTGAATCTCAGCCTCCTGAGTAGCTAGGATAACAGATAGGAGCACCTGGTGCCCAGCTTTTAACTCCTTCAACAGAGTCAATGCCCATTCCTTCTTCTCAGGACTGGTGACTACTAACCTGCTTTCTGTCTATGAATTTGCATACTCTAAATATTTTATGTGGTAGGACTCATACACTCTATGGCCATTCGTATCCACCTTCTTTCACTTAGTATAATGTTACCTGTGTCCATGTATGTTGTGGTACCAGTGTTTCTTTTCTGAACTGAATTATTACATTCCTTTGAGTGGATTAACAATTTTATTTCTCCATCAGTTATAAAGATTGTCATTTCTTCCATTTTTACTTTCCTTGGAGATACATATATATGTATCTCCAGACGCAGAATTGCTGAATCATATGATAATTCTGTATATAAGATCATCACCCACTTATAGAGCAATTTTTAGTTCATAGCAAAACTTAGTCTCATGAGCTTTTCCTGCCTAGGCTGCCTTCAAACCATGATCCTCAGATCTCAGCATCCTAAATAGTTAGGATTACTGACTTGAGCCAGTACTCAGATGTCGAACTTTTTATTATATACTCCATGTGATCTAGCTAGATCAGCCAAATCAACACCAGTGGCCAATGGATTACAAATATCACAGTCATATCACCCTCATATCCTATTTAAGTATCGTAAACGTAGGTGAGAGAAATTTAAGAGGTTGAGTTAATTGTGTTTTCCTTAACAACTGACAGTGCTTTTGAAAATTGAATCACTAGTGGAATGGATGGTCAAAGAATATTCTTTCATAATGGTTGAAGCTTTGTCCACGGAGCTGAACACACCCTGTGGCATTCAGGGCTCCGCAGAGTCAATCTTTGCTACTTGTCACTGCCCTGTGTAGAATATCCCAATGAATCATTCCTCGTTTGCAAGGTTATTCATAATCTGGGCTTGGAGGTATGACTCAGTTGGTAGAGTGATAGCCAGTGAGCAAAAGTGTCAGTGTCGGTCCATCATAAGATTAAGGAAAGCGGGCTGGGAAGGTGGTTCAGTGGTAGAGCGCTTGCCTTGCATGCATGAGGCCTTGGGTTCCATTCCTCAGCACCCCATAAGCAAAAAGAAAAAAGCCAGAAGTGGCGCTGTGGCTCAAGTGGTAGAGCACTAGCCTTGAGCTGAAGAGCTGAGGGATAGCACCCAGGCCCAGAGTTCAGGCCCCACGATCAGACCCAAAAAAAAAAAAAAAGATTAAGGAAAGCATCCTGACAATAATACTGACACTCCCCTCCCTCTCCCCTCTCCCCCCCCTCCCCCCCAAAGCCCTGCAATCATTCGTGGAGCTTGAACTCAGGCCTGGGCACTGTCCCTGAACTCTTCTGTTCAAGGTTAGTGCTGTACCACTTTGAACCAAGCTCCACTTCTAGTTTTCTGGTGGTTAATTAGAGATAGAGACTCATGGACTTTTCTTGCCCAGGTTGGCTTTGAATCATGATGCTCAGATCTCAGCCTCTTGAGGAGCCACTGGCACACAGTTAACAACATAAAGCTAGAATTTGCCTTGGTTTCTCTCATGGCTTATAAAGTACCTCACTATTCAGGTCAATCATACTATATATTGAAATCTATTAAGGCCAGTGAACCTACTAAAATAGTATGTGATCATCAGTCTTAACATTGACAAATGAGCTTCACTCTGCTCCTTTATTCTGTTGTGTTAAAAAGTCTTTTGAGTCTGCTATACAAAATACACCGAAATAGAGATGATCTTTTTTTTTTTTTTTTTTTTTTGTCAGTCATGGGGCTTGAACTCAGCGCCTGGGTGCTGCCCCTGAGTTTTGGTGCAGTGCCACTTCAGGTTTTCTGATGATTAATTGGAGCTAAGAGTCTCACAGTCCTGCCAGGGCTGGCTTTAAATTTCCATCCTTAAGTCTCAGCCTCCTGAGTAGCTAGGATTATATTAGGCGTGCCACTAGAGCCTAATACATTCTACTTTTTAAGTGATTTCCCTGATGACTCATATTTTCAAGAAGAAATTGTCTTTCATTATGTAATGGGATATTTAATGTACAGCCTTCAGAGGACTAGTTCAGGGATTTTGTTTATCTGATATGTCTCTCTTCCTACAAGCAATTCATGGCTAAGAAGACAGTTAATAACCTCTAATAATTGAGCCTGTGTTTGGTGCTAAATTACACATACGTGAAAAAAATCATTGCAGTGTTGGAGGGTTTGGGAATGCAATGAAAGCATAGTATTAATTATTGAAGGAACACTATACATAGAAAGTGCTACAACAGTTAACACACGGGTACGTGTAATTTTAGACTGGAGGGTTTCACGAGGTGAGATTTGAGCTGAATGTTGGAAAAGAAGTCAGGTTGTCACTTAGCAGATTAGAGCAAGTACTCTGCTCTGTAAAACAAAAGAACAAAAGACATAGACAGAGAAAGGACAGGTTTTTTCAGAGGGTGGGAACTAAATCAGGTTTGCCAATTGATACCATGATGAGGGAAGAGTAAGAATAAGAAGCCTGCAGAGGTGGACTGGAACTGATTTTTTGAGGAGAAATTGGAGGGCTCATGAATGTGGGCTGTGCGTTGCTAGTTTTGTGAATGTTCACTCTTCCATATATCCCAGTGCTGAGTAAGCTTCTGCTTCATGCCTCGTCTTTCTCCTGACAGGACAGAACTGTACTAGCACTTCAGCTTGCTCTTCTTTTCTCTCCCTCTCCCTCTCCCTCTCCCTCTCCCTCGCCCTCACGCTTTAATCCTAGCTACTTAAGAGCCTGAGATTTGAGGATTGTGGTTCAAAGCCAGCCTGGGCAGGAAGGTCCATGAGACTCTTATCCCCAATTACCCACCAGAAAACTGGAAGTGGCACTGTGGCTCTAGTGGTAGAGTGCTCACCTTGAGCTGAAAAGCTCAGGGACAGCACCCAGGCCCAGAGTTCAAGCCCCACAACCAACAAAAAAAAAAAGTATTGACACCTTCAATTTATATGGTTTTTATCAGCTGATAAAATTTTAGGAGTCAGATTTCCAAGAGTCTATTTCTTTAGCTGTCAGAACTGAGTGACTTTATATGTTTAATATATATAATATCTATTACATATATTATGTATAATATTATGTTATAATATATTGCATATATTATAATAAATGTTATATAATATATAGCATATATAATATACATGTTATTATATAATATGTATATGTAATATTATATGTAATATAATGCATGTAATTTTATATATATATATATATATATATATATGGTTCTGCTTTTGTGAAAGAAGGCCAGTTATTTTGAAAATAGTTTTGCTTTAGTGACCCCTGGACATTGACCATGAAGAACATTCAGTTTAGGGAAGAGCAAAGTGCAGCCATAAATAGCTATACATGAAGAAAAGCACAATTAGTCTTACTTGGATCAGTTGGAATGAAAAAGTCAGAGGAATGAGAAAGAAAAACAGGATTACATATTCTTAAACAGTCAAAAGGTCTTTGAGGAGTAAGTACTGTGGGCAAGTGCAGGTGTAGAGATGGGTATAGCTTGGTATTTTGTTGCTGGTTTTCTTTGTTTTTGTGTCCATACTGGCACCTAAACTGGGTACTGTCCCTTAGCTTTTTCATTTGAAGGCTGGTGTTCAACACTTGATTCATAGGTATACTTTTGGCTTTTTGTGGGTTAATTTGAGAGATAAAAGGTCTCAAGGACTTTCCTGCCTGGGCTACTCAGCCTCCTGAGTAGACTGGATTCTAGGCATGAGCCACTGTGCCCACCCATAGATTGGTTTTGAAGGACTTGTAGATAAGGAAGTAAATAGAGAATAGCAGTAGCATGGTTCAGTTTGTTTTACAGTATTAATTACTGGCCGTTTATAAATGAAGGTTATACAATGATGAAGACTTCTTGTGAAATACTTATAGTTTCTATTCAGGATCTGTCATTACTAATAACATTCTTTTTTTTTTTTTTTGGTAATAGGACCCTCAGCATTTCAGCTCAAGGTGAATGCTCTGCAACTTGAGCCACAGCGCCACTTCCTGTTTTCTGAGTGGTTTATTGGAGATTAGAGTCTCCTGGACTGTCCTGCCAGGTCTGGCTTTGTGCCACGATCCTCAGATCTCAGCCTCCTTAGTAACTAGGGTTACAAGTGTGAACCACTGGCCCCCTGCAACATTGTTTTATAAGTGTAGATATTTTGTAATTTTTTATTCTTTTCACCAGTTTTACTTCAGTTTCATATCAGCTTTGGCTGCTGCCACCTTATTTATGTGATATAGTTGAAGTTTTTTTGTTTTTCGATTTTGCCTCTCCTGGGGTTTGAACTCAGGGCCTAGGCAATGTCCCTGAGCTGTTTTTGCTCAAGGCAGATAAATGTTCTACAACTTGAGCCACAGCACCACTTCCAGCCTTTTCTGTGTATGAGGAATCAAACCCAGGGCTTTATGCATACAAGGCAAGCTACTCTACCACTAAGCCACATTCCCAGCGCAAGTTGAAGTTCATCTTTTTAATTGATTCTATTTGGCGCAGCACGTACAAGTCAGACCACCCATGTATAGAGAAAGAGCTCATGAGACTTAGGATTACTGATTTATCAACACCAATAAGCCAAGCATCAGTGGCTCATGCATATAATCCTAGATACTCAGGAAGCAGAGATCTAAGGATTGAAGTTCAAAGACAGTCTGGGAAGGAAAGTCTGAGATTCTCATCTCCAATAAACTACTCAGAAAAAGCCAGAAATGGTGCTGTGATTCAAGTAGTAGAGTGTTAGCCTTAAGCAGAAGCAGCTCAGGGATAATGCCCAGGTATTGAGTTCAAGCTCCAGGCCAGCAAAAAAGAAAAGATGGTATGTGATATATGAGAGGCTATCTTTTCTCCTTTTTTTCCAAAAATCTACCTAAAAGCAATTTTAGCCAGGCACTGGTGGTTCATCCCAATAATCCTAACTACTCAGGAGACTGAAATCTGAACATTTTGGTTCAAAGCCAACTCAGGCAGGAAAGTCAATGAGACTCTTATCTCCATTTAAAGCTGTAAGTGGAACTGTAGCTCAAGTGATAGAATGCTAGCCCTTCAGCTGAAAAAAAACTCAAGAATAACACCCAGGATCACTACCAAAAAATAAAAAGACAGTGTGAATTATGTTATAAGCTGGGTGCCAGTGGCTCACGACTGTAATCCTAGCTATACTCAGAAGGTTTAGCTCTGTGGATCATGGTTTGAAGCCAGCCAAGGTAGAAAAGTCATGAAACTTTTTTTTTGGGGGGGGGGGGGGCGGTTCCGGTCGTGGGGCCTGAACTCTGGCCTGGGCGCTATCCCTCAGCTCTTCAGCTCAAGGCTAGCGCTCAGCGCCACTTCCAGCTTTTTTGTTTTTGCTTATGTAGTGCTGAAGAATCGAACCCAGGGCCCTCATGCATGCAAGGCAAGCGCTCTACCACTGAGCCCCTTCCCAGCCCCTCATGAAACTCTATCTCCAGTTAACCACCACAAAAGCTGAAAGTCAAGCTGTGGCTCATGTGGTAGCCATAGGCAAAAAATCCCAGGCTATGAGTTTAGACCCAGGGATGGGTACACACACAAAAGTGTATGCTATAGAGAATTTGCTTTTTAAGGTACAGTTACAAAATAGAACCCACTTTACATACTCTTTTACATAGCTCCTTTTGAGAAGCACAAAAAAGTCAGTGCATTTTTCCCACATAAGACATTTTTGCTCTACAGTTAAGCTACCTTAGCCAATGTGGCTTAATGCATATTCAACTAACAGTAACCTAGAAGTTTTTTAAGTTTGTTTTAAACTTATTGCATTTCCTTTTCTATTCAGGATTTTTCTGTACTCATTATTATTATATTGTAATATGTTTGTATGTAAGTTACACATTTCAGTCTGAACTGAGAGTTTGAACATTTTCAATATTTTCAGTCACTTTTCCTCCCTTATCTCATTATCTCACCTTCTCACTCCCAACAGGAGACCGAAATTTTGAAGATCATTCTAAATACTTCTTTAAATGAATTTTATCACAAACATAGATGCACTTAAACAACATATGTTAGATGTGATTTTATTTATTTATTTATTTTCCAAGCAGTGAGGTTGTGCTGTTTTGGTGTAGCTGACTGTTGGTGGGGGTTTTTTGTTGTTGTTGTTGTTTTTTATTGTTTGTTTGCCAATAGGGTTTTTGCTGAATAGCCCAGGCTGGGCTGGAATTTGTTACATCCATGTCTAAGGCTCTCCTCAAACTCTCAATCTTCCTGTATCAGCCTCTGAAGTGCTGGCACTGTAGGCATGCACAACCATATCTAGATCCTACAGCTGTTTATTTTCATTCCCATCAAATACTTTGTGAGCTGAACACAGGTGACTCACCCCTTTAATCCTAGCTAATTACAAGGCTAACTATCAGACTAAGATCTGAGGATTACAGTTAGAAGCCAGACTGTGGAGGAAAATTTGTGAGATACTTAGTTTCAATTAACCAACAAAAAAAAGCTCAAATGAACACTAGCCTTGAGCAAAAATGCTCAGGGACAGAGCCTTGGCCCCAAGCTTGAAGACTTACACAACACACATATACACACATAACAGCATCAAAATATCCCAGATATAGTTCTTATATTAGTTATCATAGTCATCTAATTTAAGGCTATAAAGCCTGGACACTGCCTTGAGCTTTTCCTATTTTTTTTTTCTCAAGACTAGAGAGCTACCATTTGAACCATAGCTCCAGTTTTGGCTTTTTTGTGTTTTTATTTTGTTTTTGTTTTTTTGTTTGGTCATAAGGCTTGAACTCTGGGCCTGGATGCTGTTCCTGAGCTTTTCAGCTCAAGGCGCGCACTCTGCCATTTGAGCCACGGCACCACTTCCGGTTTTCTGGTGGTTAATTAGGGATAAGCGTCTCACAGACTTTCCTGCCCAGTCTGGCTTTGAACTTCTCAGCCTCCTGAGTAGCTAGGATTACAGCCAGGAGCCACTAGCACTTGGCATTTTTTTGGTGTTTAATTGGAGATAAGAAACTCAGACTTCCGGGGCTGGGAAGTTGGCTCAGTGGTAGAGCGCTTGCCTTGCATGCCAGAGGCCCTGGGTTCGATTCCTTAGCACCACATAAGCAAAAATAAAAAATAAAAAAAAAAGAAACTCAGACTTCCTTTTGTTCTTTTTCTCTCTTCCTTCCTCTCTTTTCCTTCCTTCCTCTCTTTTCCTTCCTTCCTCTCTTTTCCTTCCTTCTTCTCTTTTCCTTCCTTCCTTCCTTCCTTCCTTCCTTCCTTCCTTCTTTCCTTCCCTTCCCCCCTTCTTTCTTTTTCTCTAGGGTATAAACATATAGGAACAATAATGGTTAAGACAAATTTTTTTTAAAAAATTGCATCTTTACCATAATGAATTTGTTGAAGGAAGAGGAGACTTTGTTACTTTGCTTTAGATTACCTTAATTTTTCCAACTAGAACTCTGTTCTTATAAATCACTTTTCTCCAATCCTTTTCTCTTCTGGCATCTCATTCTCTAGACGAGTCTGAATCTTATTAATTCCTTTGGATATGGTATTCCTTTGGATATGGATAGCAGTGAGATTCACTTCAAAGTGAAAATGACAACACATCTCAAGAAACTCAAAGAATCATAAAATATAATTAAAAAAAAAAAGAAACTCAGACTTTACAGTGATCCTCAGATCTTAGTCTCTTGAGTAGCTAGGAAGTTAGACCTATTCACATCTAGCAGGTCTAGAAAATATGATTGTTTTAGGGTTTTAGAACTCTCATCAATGATACTGTGTGTAATTGTATTTCAGAAACACGTAGTGTATAGCTGGGTTTTTGCTCTTTTTCATAGTTTTTGGTTTTTTTTTCTTACTTTTAGAAGGATCTGAAGAGGAAAAAATGGAAACAGATGCTGATGGTCAACAGCCTGAGAAGGTAAAGACTGTTTAAATTGTTCCATAGCTGAAAACCACATGTGCTTTTTTTAGCAAAGTGAGTTGGAATTTTTATATATTTATTTATATAATTTTTTTATTACCTTCCAAGGGCCTAGGAGGCTATTAGTAGTTCTGTGCACCATTTTGATGTTATTATTTGAAGTATAGTTTTCACATAGTACAGTAGAGGACCTTCCCCCTAAGTCCCCGATTTAAACTTATTTTATTCTTACAAGTACCGTGCGCTAACCGATTGCACCACTGCAGCGCCACTTATTTTATTCTTAAAAGGGGAAAAATTACAAAGATTCAAGAGCCCAATTTTTAATTCATTGTGTGAATTTCAGGGTTTAGGATATTTTCCATATACTTAAGATTGATCATCATCCTGTCCTGGTTTTTTGGTTTTGTTTTGTTTTTATTCTTTTTTATTGTTGTTGTTTTGTTGGTTGTGGGTCTTGAACTCTGGGCCTGAGCTGTCCCTCAGCTCTTCAGCTCAAGGTGAGCGTTCTACCTCTTGAGCCACAGTGCCACTTCCAGTTTTCTGGTAGTTAATTGGAGATAAGAGTCTCGCAGGGAGTTTTTGCCCAGGCTGGCTTTGAACCGTGATCCTCAGATCTCAGCCTCCTAAGTAGCTAGGATGACAGGCATGAACCACCAGCGCCCGGCTTGTTATTATTCTTTTAGGCACAGTTGGCAGTAGGAATACAAAAGTTATACTTACTGTAAATACTGGATTGTAGAACTTAGTTTTCATACTGTGCCAGAAGAGAATTATAGAATATTTCAGGCTGGGAATGTGGCTTAGTGGTAGATTGCTTGCCTAACATGTATGAAGCCCTGGGTTTGATTCCTTAGTATTACATAAATAGAAAAGGCTGGAAGTGGCACTGTGGCTCAAATAGTGGAACGCTAGCCTTGAGTAAATAGAAGCTCAGCTACAGTGCCCAGGCCCTGAGTTCAAGCCCCAGGACCAGCCAAAAAAAAGAATATTAAGTATTTTGTAGGAGATTTAACTGTCAACAGGATATTTAAGAAAAAAATGAAGCTGGGTGCTGGTAGCTCACACCTGTAATACTAGCTACTCAGGAGGCTGAGATCTGAGGATCATGGTTCAGAGCCAGCCTGGACAGGAAAGTCCATGAGACTCTTATCTCCAATTAACCACCAGAAAACCGTAAGTGGTGCTGTGGCTCAAGTGGCAGAGTGCTAGTCTTAAGCTGAAGAGCTCAGGGACAGCACCCAGGCCCAGAGTTCAAGCCCCACGACTGACCGCCCCCCCCCCCCCCAAAAAAAAAAAAAAAAAAACTAGTTAAGACACCTCCATTGAAGGCCTATTTTTTTTCCCTTGGTCTAAATGCAGTCTTTGAGCTTTTGTGATCAAGGCTAATGCTCTATCTTCTTGAGCCACTGATCTACTTCCCAGCTTTTTTGTGTGTATATGATTAATTAGAGATCAAAGTCTCATGGAATTTCCTGCCCAGGCTGGCTTCAAACCACAATCCTCAGATCTCAGACTCCTGAGTAGCTAAGATTACAGGTATAAGCCACCAGTACTCAGCAGGAGGAGGCTATTTTTAAGGAGCAGATAGAACTATAAAGATTGAAGTAAGCCAGGTGTTGATGGCTCATGCCAGTAATCCTAGCTACTCAGGAAACTGAGACCTGAGGATCATGGTTCAAAACCAGCTAAGGTAGAAAGTCCGTGAGACTCTTATCTCCAATTAACCACCTGAAAACCAGAAGTGCAGCTGTGGCCCAGATCCAGGCCTTGAGTTCAGACCCCATGACCAGACCCTCCCTTTCCCCCACCCCACCCCCAAAAAAGATAAGGATAACAAATCAGAAACTCCAACTATAGATGAAGAAAGACCTTAGACCTTAATGCCACTACATGGAATGCATTTTAAGTGTTCCTGGATGTTATTGGCTAAGTCCCTGTTGATAAGAAACTAAATGGGAAGAACAGGAAAGACTGCACAACTTCTTCAAGGGAACATTCTGAGAGAGAGAGAGAGAGTGTGTGTGTGTGCGCGCGCGCGCGCGCGTGCATGTATGCAAGGTCTTGATTAAATGAGGTATTCTAAAATTTTCTATAATTTAAGAGGGTGTGCATAATAATAAAATTGAATACAATTCCTCTAGTGTTTCAGATATTATGCTTTCTGTTCTGTATTTATGATCTTATTTAATTTTTAAAACAGCTTCATCAAGTCAGAGATTGTACCGATCTCCAAGGCCAGCAGTTTCTAAATCCCTAAATTACCAGATGCTGACCTGAGAAATTGATGTTTTTAGTCACCAATACATGATCACTGTTTTTTGTTTTTGTCAGTTGTGGGGCTTGAACTCTGGGCTTGGGCACTGTCCCTGAGCTCTTCAGCTCAAGGCCAGCACTCTACCACTTGAGCCACAGCACCACTTCCAGTTTTCTCATGGTTTATTGGAGATAAGAGTCTCCCGGGCTTTCCTGCCTGGGCTGGCTTTGAACCACAATCCTCAGATCTCAGCCTCCTGAGTAGCTAGCATTACAGGTGTGAGCAACCAGCACCTAGCTCTTTTTTTTAATGTGGTACTGAGGAATGGAACCCAGGGCCTCATGCATGCTAGGCAAGCACTCTACCACTAAGCCATATTCCTAGCCAATCACACTATTCCTTAATTATGTTTCTTCCTAAAATTATCATAGTGTGATAAACTGTCATTTCTTCTGACAGCATTTCATCTTGCTTCTTGGTTGATGATGTGAAATTCACATGCTTAAAATAACTAGTAATAATTTAAGTATTAGTTTCACCTCTTTTTGTACTTGGCCCTTCTGAATCTAGTCCACTTTTAATCTAAGGTAATATCACTCCCTAATTCTTTTGTTTTGACTTCCTTCAGGCAGAAAATAAAGTGGAAAATGAAACAGATGAAGGTGAAAAAACCCAGGATGGAGAAAATGAAAAAAGTAGTGAGAAGGAACAGGATAGCGAAGTTAGTGAGGACATTAAATCAGGTAACTTGAGTGGCACCAAAAGGCACTGAAGAAATACTGATAACTTATGTAAATAGGTCTTTCTTTATTTGGGGTTTGTTTCTAAATGTTACAGAATTATGCTCTCATTTGACAGCTAGGTACTACATTTTTCTTTGTTTCTATTAATAGGTAGAGACATCATTATTCAAATTAATTCAGATCTTGTCTTGTCCCTTTCTGTTAGCTGTCCACATGAAACCTTTGGCCCTGAGGGTAATAAAGAAATATGATGGACTCAAGAATGGGAAAGCTGCTGGGCACCAGTAGCTCACACCTGTAATCTTAGCTACTTGGAAGGCTGAGATCTAAGGACTGCAGTTGGAAGCCCACTGGGCAGGAAAGTCCATGAAACTCCTATCTCCATTTAACCACTAGAAAACCAGAAGTGACACTATGGCTCCAAGTGGTAGAGCACTGGCCTTGAGGGAAAAGCTCAGAGACAATGCCCAGGCCCTGGGTTCAAGCCCCACAACCGACAAAAGAAAAAAGAACAGGAAAGCTGAAGCCATGCCTGCAGTTCCAATAGGTGTATCTATAAGTATAGGTGTGGTAAAGAAGAATCCAAGCAGCAGCTAGTGAGAGCACAGTAGCTCCCCATATATAATACATAACCTCTCTAGTCTAATTATGTCCTTGGAGTTATTTTACAAACAGGATTTGTACCCATTCATACTACAGCTGTTCATTATGTTGGCTGGTGCAAGGGTGTATGTCTGTTGAAAGTGGAATAATAGATAACAATACAATTTGGAAAATATGTGCCCTCTGTCTGTTTCCCTCCTTCCCTCCCTCTATTTCTGCTGTATTCCCCCTCCACCCCTACCTTACCCCCCAGTTTGAACTCAGGACCTTGTTGTTAGGTTCAAGCTTGTTCAGCTTGCTCCCTCATACTGTTCTTTTTTATATATATATTGTTGTTGTTGTTATTGATGTTCTCATTGGTCACAGGGCTTGAACTCAGGGCCTGGGCACTGACCTTGAACTCTTTTGCTCAAGGGTAGTATTCTACCACTTTTGAGCCACAGTGCCACTTCTGGTTCCCTGGTAGTTAATTGGAGATAAGAGTATCACACAGGGACTGAGACCCTCAGATCTCAGCCTCGTGAGTAGCTAGGATTATTGTGTGAGCCACTGGCACCCAGCTCATCTTGTTTTCTTACACATAACTCCAGTCTACTTCCCCACCCTGGTTATTTTGGAGATAGAGCCTATTCAATTTTCTGCCTAGAGTGGCTTTAAACTGCAGTCCTGGATTGCAGTCTCCTTAATACCTAGTATTATAGCTATGAGCCACTGATGAAGATACTTTTATCTGAAGATCCCTTCTCAAGATTTTCTTCCCAAAATGAGAGCGTTCACAGTTTCAGGATTGGTTGGTTTGGTTTTAGTGAGAAGGATTTAGGTTTAAGAAAATTGCTTATCCATATTAGGAGCAATTATTTGCTACCCTACTCGGGCAGTAATAATCGCAAAGGCAGCTTAGGGTGCCTTTGCTGATTTATGCTTTTTCATTGTGGAGAAAGAACAGTAATAAAGAATCACTCTGGACCTAAAGGAACTCAGCTCCGAAACAAAAAAAACAAATCAGAATCTACCTCAGGTACTCAAGGCTCATGGGCGGTATAGAAAATAGAGGAATGTTTATAGCACCAGAAGCTGAAACAGACTGCGTAGAGACACTGCACAGAGAGCTGCCCGACTCTGAAACTACAAATCATGACAAAAAGTCAAGTAATGGGTAATTTAGGCAGAGCATAATGAGGTTTCCCCCAAATGTGCAGTTCGACCAATCATGTAAATGATCAAAACAAATTCTAACGACAACACAAACCATATTAAATGATTGATGAGACAAAACAAAGAGAAGAATTAGGATACATTTGATGAGCTGTAAGGGTATTAAAAAGCAAAACAGAATGAAGATAAAAACGCTAGCAAGACAAAATCTAAAAAAAAAATCTGTAGTACCTATATTGAACTTGAGTTCAATTCCTATCAACCCATGCGTTTGTCTGTCTGCCTCTCTGCCATCCTCCACATACCTGCCATTTTATTGCCTATGTCCATCTCAGGCTTGTGCAAGTACTGTTCATCAAGTCTGATTCCCTCTGATTCTCGTTCCTAGAGCATGCTGTTAATGAATGAATAGATATGTGGGTCTAAATTGCCATGAGTTTTTCTTTAAATCCGAGGGAACAACATAGAGCTTAGAGCAATAATAAAAAGACAGCGTTCTACTTCAAGCTATATCCCCAATAGAGGCATACTTAAAAGAATGAAAATACTTGATGAAACTTTTAAAAGAAAAAATAAAATTAGCCCTAGTTTGTTGTATGGCAAAAGTAAAAGGGTAAAATGGATTATTGAGCCTGGGCTACAATGATAATAAAGCTTTCTGATATTTTCAGAAGAAAAGGAGACTGAAGAGAACAAGGAACTCTCTGATACATGTAAAGAAAGAGAAAATGATACCGGAAAGAAGAAAGTAGAACATGAAATTTCTGAAGGAAATGTTGCCACAGCCGCAGCAGCTGCTCTTGCTTCAGCTGCCACCAAAGCCAAGGTTCGCCCCTGCAGCCCTTTTTCTCCCATGCTCTCTTAAACCATGAATAGTCGTATTGTTTTTAGTTAATTGGGAACATTTAGTATAAAGATTCTAGCTCCCAATAGGAGATGACTATTTGCTTGAATGGCATTTCTAGGTTAAGAAATCCGCAAGCAGGAGAATGGTAGAATAAATCTGGTTGTGATGGGGATGGAGTTCAAGTGGTTAAAAAAAGGATAGATCGGGTCTTAATGAGTGAATTTTTTCATTCCATTCACTGTGTCATTTAGCTTTGTGAGGACTTCAAGGCAAATTTTAAGGTCTCTTTAAGGAGTCGATTGTCTTCCTGTTTTTAATTTGCCTTCAGGGCTGGTCTTGGACCATTATACCCATACTTCTTTTGTTTATGATTTTTAAGGCAAAAATCTGTTTTCTTGTATAAATACTTTGCCCTGATATTACATACTGAAAAGAAAGAGGGACCTAAAATAGCTCTTTTTCTTCTTGAATTTGCCAGCTTTTCTGGGGGTGGCTTTTTCTATTTATAACACTGTATCGACTGCATAGCATATTTAAGAAGACAAGAAAATGTTATTTTCCCTGCTTAGAGTTAATTTAGCATTTTAAAGCATTCCAACATGAATATATGAAATTTTTAGAAATCTTGTCACCTTTTATCCATGCTACCTCTGAACAAGTTTCCTTCCATTGTAGATTACCACATTTCAAGAGGCAATAGTTACTAGAACATTCCTAATCTCTTTATCTTGAGCTGTTTTTGACCCCTGGGTAAAGATGTTCTTTCAAGTGTTTAATCTGTGGAGCATGATTCATAATAGACCCATACACAAACTAACTCAAATCCCAGAACACGGTTTTGAGTGCCAACTCATCTGACCCAAGTCTAGTGGTCTGCTGAAGAGGTCTTTACAGACCACAATAATTCTCAGTCAACCCAGACCAGATACTACAGCAAAAATAATGTTTGTTTGCTATTTCAACTTTTCTTGAAGGTTAACTTAACATTCAGATAAACAGAAAGATTAAAGTCTACAGCTCAGTGAATTTCTCCCAATTTAAGCCCATCTATGTAAGCACCACCCACTTCCAAAAACATGATGTTACAGCCCTTCAGAAGCAGCCTCATTTTCCTGTGCAATCACTGTACCTCTCCCCAAGAGAGGTTACCAGCCTGTCTCCCAACATCATAAGTTAGTTTCTTTTTTTTGTTGTTCTACATAAAAAGAATCCCATAGTATAAATGGGAATCTTTCTTTTTTCTTTTTTTCCTTTTTTTTGTTATTGTTGTTGTTGTGGTGCAGGGGTTTTGTACTAAGGGCCTTGCACTTGTTAGACACACTGCCACCTATGAACAGAATCTTTTTTTCTTTCTTTTTTTCTTTTCTTTTTTTTTAAATCGGTCGTGAGGCTTGAACTCTGGGCCTGGCCACTGTCCCTCAGGTCTTCAGCTCAAGGCTAGCACTCTACCACTTGAGCCACAGCACTACTTCTGGTCTTTTGGTGGTTAATTGGAAATAAGATTCTCATGGGGATTTTCCTGCCTGGGCTGGCTTTGAACCATGATCCTCAGCTTCCAGCCTCCTCAGTAGCTAGGATTACAGGAGTGAACCCTGGGTTCCTGGCTTGAACAGAAATCTTTAGAAAACTCCTCTTAGGGGCTGGGAAGGTGGCTCAGTGGTAGAGCGCTTGCCTTGCATGCCTGAGGACCTGGGTTCAATTCCTCAGCACCACTAGCCTTGAGCTGAAAAGCTGAGGGACAACGCTCAGGCCCCACAACCGGACCCAAAAAAAAAAAAAAGAAAAGAAAAAGAAAACTCCTCTTAAAATAACGATTATTGAAAATTTACTTTTCTTCAGTTAACTGCTTTGTCTTTCTTAGCCTAAAATTTCAAACTCTTGGTAATTCAGAACTTCCTTGATGATTTGGGCCCTTACGAGATATCAAGCCTCCTTTCTTGCTTGTTCTTCCCAAACTGTTCTGTCTTTTGCAATTCTAATAAACAGAGTCCAGTCTTTTTTCTTCCTTTTTTTTCTTTAGAATTTCAGCACAATTTCCTCAGAAATCATGGTTTTTCTTCCTAATTATTTTCCTTTTTCATGCCTTTGTTCTGAGACATTATAAAAGTACATTGTATGAAAAAGAAGTGAAACTTCTTCAGAAGTTGTACAGTGTCCCTTGCATCTTGTAACTATTATTATGTCAACTTTGGGCCGAAAACAATGTGTCTGTTGCATAGCACTGACCATCTTACAACTATATGACTGGTGGTCGCATAGAAATAATTTTTGTCAACTATTAAATCTGACCTTTTGCTGTTTCATATGAAGTTGAGAAGACTGTTGAAACATAATTTTTTCTAGGTCACTGGATTTCCACTCCCTCCTCATCAAGGGCTCTCATATTTCTAGTAGTTTGTTTTTATTTTTGAGACATTGATTTTTTTCCTGTAATTTGTGAAAATAGTACAAATGCTCATGCTATATGACTTGGCTCGTGTGAGCAGTTCAGTACCACTTACAGCTGTATCTGATACATGTCACAGCACATAATCATTTTTGCACTACATAGTAATCAGGGATAAGGAACTCACCTAAATTACTGTAATTAGTATAGCTTATCCAGCCAATCCAAGTTTCCCTAACTCTCATTATGTTCTTCTGTGTCTATAAACAGCTTTATTATTAAGAGTTTGTCACCCTCTGGCATGGAGTGATAATTAGGGCCTCTAGATCTAGCTGCTGAACAGGCAAGGTGCTATGTTCTCTGCCTTCTCCCCATACTTGTCATAGAAAAGTCTCTTCAGGAACAACCCATTTGCTCATTGCCCCTCCTGCTAAGCTGTGAATTGCCACCTCAGACTGTAGCAGCAGGACACTGCTAGGTGGGTGCTCTGGGTTTCTGCCTTTCTAGGTATTTAAGCTTAGAAGGGAGAGAAAAATTGAAAACTATTGGTGGAATAAACTGGAATCCCCAGAACAAGCTCTTTTTCAGTGATAATAAGAATCAGTTCTTCCAAGACAGCAGAGATCACACTTTCTTGAGACCACAGACATTTCCCTTTGATTTATTTATAAATGACTTCATATCCATATACCCCACAATGGCAAACAGTAGTTTTATGTTCATTATCATGAACATGATAATAACATGGCCATTAGGTCTGATTAACAGGAAGATACTTTTTTTTAACCCATCAGAAATAGAATTTGTTCCTTTATGTGTGAAATTCCTTCTTGAGAAGGGAATGTTATTGCTGCTATTTGGGTCACAAGGCTTCTCCTTGTGTCACAGGTATGTGTTGGTGATTTACAGTAAACACATTGGGCATGGATATCATAACCTGGTAATACTGTGCATAGGAAGCAGAAGGCTGGCATCACTCCTTCTCCATTCATCCTCTCTACAATCCTAGCTTGTGAGGAGTAGTCTTATAAGAACTGTTTTGGAAAAGTGGAAGACTGAGGAGAGTGTTAAGACATAAGTAAACTAAACAGGACTCTACTAGTGTCTTGGATGGCTTGGAACCCCAAATAAGTGCCACATAACTCCCAGTTAAAGATCATGTCCAAATTCAAGGGGGCGTAGAGAATACCTGTGGATGGAATTCATCCCAGTTTAACCCATTACAGTCTACTCTTTGGTCACAAATCATACAACCTTTTCTCACTTGGCAGAATAACCATCTCAAGGTTACACCATCTCACTATGGTATCAGGCTAGGGGTGGAGGATGAGATCTTATCAGAATAAGATCCAGGTACCTGGAGGCTCCTTAGGGTAGGGCAGCTCTTTTTTAGTGTTGCAGTTACTAATGTTGAGATCTTTGTGTCCTGAATTACTGTCAGTGGTGGGACAGATAGAAGCCAGTTACACTCATTTAGCAAATGTATTTCAATGAGTGTTAGTTACCCCTACTGTCACTCTCCCTTTTCCTTTTCCGCCCTTCCCAAAACAATTTCAACAGGTTTCATTGTTTTCATAGTTGCAAACATTCTCTTTTGACTGTATTCAGCCTTTTTCATCTTTGTTATCCCAACCAGTCTCTACCACTCATTCCTGGTTTCTTGATCAGAGCCTAGTCATACTCCTTGAGAGAATTCTCTTTTTAAAATGCACTGTGACTGCATATGGTGGCACATGTCTAGAGTCCTAGTACCTAGGAAGCTAAGACCAACCTTAGCTACATAGGAATTTCCTGTCTTTAAAAAAACAAAAACAAAACTGGGCACTGGTGGCTCACCTATAATCCTGGCTACTCAGGAGGCTGAGATCTGAAGATCACAGTTCAAAACCAGCCCCAGCCCAGGGAGAAAAGTCTATGAGACTCTTATCTCCAATAAACAACCAGAAAACTAGAAGTGGCGCTCAAGTGGTAGAGGGCTAGCCTTGAGCTGAAGAGCTCAGGGACAGTGCCCAGACCCAGAATTCAAGTCCCACGACTAACGAAAAAAAAGGAGCTAGGCTTGCAACCCAGTCGTAGAGCACTTGGCTAGCATCCATAGAGCCTTGGATTCAATTCCTAGCACTCTTTTTTAAAAAGAAAAGAAAAGAAAAACTTAATTGAGCACCAGTGACTCATGCCTGTAATCCAAGCTCCTTGGCAGGTGAAAGCCAGAGCATCATAACTTGATGCGAACCCCCATCTCAACCAGTAACTGGGCATGGTGATGTTTACTTGCTATCCCAGCTATGCAAGTATGCAAGAGTCAGAGATCAGGAAGATTGAGGTTCTAGGCCAGTCTAGTCTCCCCTCCTTGTCCCTTTTCCTCCCACTCCCCCCCCCCCCCCCCCCCCCCAATCATAAGTCCCTAACTCCACATAAAAGGCCAGGCTTGGTGATGTGTGACTGTCCTCCCAGCTGCTGCTTTTTCACTCATAGCTGTACCTTGAATCATGCATTTGGTCACCCTGGCTTTTTGTTTATTTTTTGGGGGGAGGGGAGGTCCTGGTCTTGGCCTGGGCACTGTCCCTCAGCTCTTCAGCTCAAGGCTAGCGCTCTACCACTTGAGCCACAGCACCACTTCTGGCTTTTTCTGCTTATGTGGTGCTAAGGAATCGAACCCAGGGCCTCATGCATGCAAGGCAAGCACTCTACCACTGAGCCACCTTCCCAGCCCCTTTGTTGATTATTTTTAAGACAGTCTCATGGACTTTGCTGCCCAGGCTGACTTCAAACCATGATCCTCCAAATCTCAGCCTCCTGAGTATTCAGGATTACGTGTAAGAGCCACCAATTCCCAGCTTTCCTTTATGCCTTTGATGATGAACATTTTTTAATGTAAGTTCTTACTTTGAGATCTATGGTCCATTGACTTTCATTTTTGTAGATGGTGTGGGGTAATAGGGGATAGGGATCCAAACTCATTCTTTTGTATTTGGATATCTAGCTGCCCCAGTTCCTATTGTCCAGCTCCAATGATCAATGTCTTCTTGCTCTTGTTTAATATTTGTTCCTCTGTTGGTTTGTTTTTATTGTTTTATATTTTGTTTATATTGGAGTTTGACTTGGACCTGATACTTGCCAGGCAGACACTCTACCACTTGAGTCATACCTCTAGTTTCCTGTTTGTCTTTAACCTGTTGATGTTACCCACCCCCCACCCCCATGAATTCATTGCTTCATTCATTCTTAGGTTTTGCCTACAACTTCTGTATCTCATGGTCTATTATGGTAATTCCCTACGTCAGCTTCAACATTAACATGTGCAGGAAATAAAACTTCATTCAGTCATCACTGACATTCTGTTTGTATTAGGTGTTTCATGCCTGTCCCTAGGAAACGCAAAGGAAAGATTCTGGGAAGAGACAGGGTTATTTTGTGTGTGTGTGTGTGTTCTTTTTTTTTTAATTTTTTTATTGTGAAAATACTGTTACATGAGCAAGGTAAATGAGTACATTTCTTATCCAGCATTGTTGCCTCCTCCTTTGTTTTTCCCCTACCGTTCCATCCCTCCTACCTCCTCAACTACACCTCACCCACCCCCATCCCCACCCCCACCCCTGTGCCTAAATTTTAAAGTTCACTTTTCGACATAGTGCCTTGTACATCTCATTGTTGCAATGGGTCAATCTGTATCCCTATTTAAACAATTTTGGTTTTTTTCCCTTCCCCTCCCCAAATTATACCAACATCAAATACAGTGAAAACAGGGGTTATACAGTGGGGGGAGGGACATACAAAGCAACAAAAAAATCAATATCAAGGAAGAAAAAAAACCACTTGTGTCCCTGTCTTGGGGTTCATATCACTTATCATCTGAGCTTTTCTGCTTATCCCAGACATACACTAGTAGGGTTATTTTTTTTTCTAAGTATTTACCTAAATTATTTCCTCTTTTGCCCTTAGCACCTGGCTGCTGTGGAGGAGAGAAAGATCAAGTCCCTGGTAGCTCTCCTGGTTGAAACACAAATGAAAAAACTAGAAATCAAACTTCGACATTTTGAAGAGCTGGAAACTATCATGGACAGAGAGAAAGAAGCTGTAAGTAAGGAGAATTCCACAGGGCATTTTGATAATTCATTCTTGACCAGCTTTCAGAAGTATAAATTAGGGTAGTACTTTAATGCTGGTGTATGTACAAGTCTGTCATTTTGTCTCTGATTTCACTTGTCCTTTCCAAAGAGAATTATTAGCTAAATAGTAGAAAGTAGAAATGAATCTCATTTTAAGAGCCCATTTTTCGGGCTGGGAAGGTAGCTCAGTGGTAGAGTGCTTGCCTTGAATGCATGAGGCCCTGGGTTCAATTGCTCAGCACCACATAAGCAGAAAAAGCCAGAAGTGGCACTGTGGCTTAAGTGGTGGAGCGCTAGCACTGAGGGACAGCATCCAGGCCCAGAGTTCAGGCCCCACGACCAACCAAAAACAAAACAAAAAAGAATCTTAACAAGGAGCTGGCATAGGCAAAAGCATCCATCTTAATTTAAGGGAAGATAGTAAGCTGGCAATGAGTTTAGATTGGCACACACAACAGTCAAGAGAGCACTTTTCAGTCCTGGCTGGTTGGAGGACTTGAATGCACTGAGAGAACTGAGGTGCTTGAGCTTTACTTGAAACAGTACAGTTGGTTTTAAATACACACACACACACACACACTTTGAACTCAGTGTGAATTTGCTTCTGGACTAAGTGCTCCCTTGGTTTCTGAAGTTTATTTAGATAGGAGCAGAAATTGTGTTTATCTTCAAAAAAGAAAGGCATTTGAGGAAAGGCAAAGCTGTAAGAAACCCAGCCTGTGTTTACAAAGGTGAATGAGATAGTGACATGTGAAGGAAGCAAATACTATATGAAAATATGAAAAGTCAGCTCAGATTATCGGGAAAAGCTTTCTGGAGAATGAGAGATCTAATTGTAAAGCTGGCTCAAATCTTAAAATATGAAGAAAAAAGGAAGCCTTTTTTTTTCCCCCTCATAGGGTTTAAACTCAGGGCTTGGGTGCTGTCTTTCAGCTTTTGCATTCAAGTCTAGTGCTCTTCCACTTTGAACCACTGCTTCACTTCTGGTTTGGGAGTAGTTCATTGGAGATAGTCTCATGGACTTTCCTGCCTGGGGTTGGCTGTGAACCATGATCCTCAGATCTCTGCCTCCTGAGTAGCTAGGATTACAGACATGAGCCACCTGTACCCAGCAAAAGAAACCTTTGAAGAGATGAAAGGTTAAGTCATTTGTGCATAAACATGTTGGTGTATGTTTCATGTACTTATGTACTAGGGATACAGTGTTTAATAAAACCTTGCAAAGTGCTAGTGGTTCACACATGTGATCCTAGCTGTTCAGGGGGCTGAGATCCGAAGATTGAGTTATCAAGCTAGCCTGGGCAGGAAAGCCCATGAGACTCTATCTCAAATTAACCAGCAAAAAGCCAGAAGTGGAGGTGTGGCCAAAGAGTGGTCGAACATCAGTTATGAGCAAGAATATGGGCCAAGTTCAAACCCCAGTATCAGTAACAGTGAATAAATAATAAAGCCTAGCAAAATTCTGTGCCTTGGTGGAGCTTAAGTAGCTAGAAATGGTGGAAGACTTAAATTATGAAATGTCCTCTGTGTTAGATGTACATGCTTTGTTGTATACAGTCACATGTTGAAGGCTGTGTCAGAGATTAGGGTTTGCAGGTTTAAGTGGTATCCTCATAGTCTTTATGAAGGAACACAGTTGGTAGCCAGGCTCCGGTGGCTGATGCCTGTAATCCTAACTACTCAGGAGGCTGAGATCTGAGGATCACAGTTCAAACCAGCCCAGGCAGGAAACTCCATGAGACTCTTATCTCCAATAAACCACTAGAAAACCGGAAGTGGCGCTCTGGCTCGAGTGGTAGAGTGCTCGCCTTGAGCTGAAGAGCGCAGGGACAACGCCCAAGCCCAGAGTTCAAGCCCCACGACCGACAAAAAGAAAGAAACAGTTGATGACCAAGAAATAGTATGCAGAGAGCTGACATGGGAGCATAACTACCAGGTTAAGGCACTAGGAAGTAGTTGGATGGGTTGGCCTCAGGGCCTTTTGTTCTTGCCTTTTCCATCATGTCTGGAACTCTACCACATACGCCATGTTTCCAGCCCGGCTTTTTGCTAGTTAATTGGGTATGAAGTCTTAATGGGCATTATTACCTGGGCTGGCTTCCAACTGTGATCCCCTGGCTCTCAGTCTCCTGAATAACTAGAAAGATAGGTGTGAGCCACCAGCACCTATCCATACATAACATTCTTGTAATTAAAAAACAAGTCCTATAAACTTCCAAGTTAGGTTCTACAAACACTTTTCCTTTTATTATCTGCTACCTCCATTTCTCAGACCATGAGTGAAGCCTACAATTAGAAATGAGCAGTGTGTAAATTACTCATGTAAGTAAAGTGTCAGTGAACCTGTTGGTTTTCTTCCTGATTCCCACGGGGCCTCTAGGGAGGCAAGCCACATAAAGCTGCTCTGAAGCCTCCCCTCCCCACCCTGCAGCATTCAAATGCCATCTTCCTCTTCCCGAGACCCTGAACTGAGTATGTATGGTGCAGCCACATCCAAGCGGAACCTACAACAGAGCACTCTTCAGCAGAAGACACTGAAGGCAGACACAGCTGCAAGTGCAGCTGAACCACACAAAGCTCTTCTCCTATCTTTGATTTGCATAAAGTAGGGAGGAGGGGTGAGAAAAAGAAAAAGGTGGGTGAGGGCCACAAAAATCAATCCACACTGCCAAAGCCTGAAATACCAGCTAAGACTCCATTAAAGCCTCACAACTAAAGTTAATAATCACACCTCGCTTTGCAATGTTTCATGTCAGCGATGGAGACATTCACTGAGGAAAAATCAAGCCGGAAAGAGACATACCCGGTTCCTTATCACACCTTAAGGAGAAAAAGAATAAACGCAACTGCGTTTTGCTACTTCCATATGTGCTTCTGGTGGCAGAAACCCAAAGCCTGGAGCATGTCAGGCCACTGTCCTTTTGGAAACATGTTTGCTTCGAGAGGCCATGTACTTCTGCACTTCAGAAGGCAACTCACTTCCTGGGATATAGCTTTCTTCACTTCAAACTAAGTATCTATAATGTAATGTACATGTCTAACAATAAATTGTATGAAAGGAAGTATGAACACAATTACAGACCGATCTTTCTAAATTTTAAGGAAAAACCATGTATATCTTCCATTCCAGGCCTCAGCTGACATTAATCTACCCTATTCAATTCTATCCCTAGCCTATTTTTTACCCTCCTATTTACCCTTCCTATTTCACTTTAAATCATTTTGTGCTGAATATCAAACTCAGCGCTTATGCAGGGTAAGAATGAGTTCTACCACTGAGTTATACCCTGGCCCCAATCTCCAATTCATTCATTCTTCCTTCCTTCCTTCCTTTCTCCCTCCCTTTCTCCCTCCCCCTCTTCCTCTCCTTCTCCCTCCCTCCCTCTCTCTCTTTCCCTCCCTCCCCCCCTCTTTCTTTCTCTCTTTCTTTCTTTCGCCAGTCCTGGGGCCTGAACTCAAGGCCCAGGCTCTGTCCCTAAGACTCTGTGCTCAAGGCTAGCACTACCACTTGAGGCACAGTACCACATCCCGTTTCTCTGCATATTTGGTAGCGAGAAATCAAACCCAGGGTTTCATGCATGCTAGGCAAGTATGTACTCTAAAATTAAGCCACATTCCCATCTCCCCCAATACTTCAATTAAAGTGAAATGCCACTGGATGGCTTACAGGGACTGAGTTTAGTCTCAAACTACTCCAAACAGCACAAAAATGAGAAACAATGCTTTAATGACAGTCTTTTTTGTTGTTGTTGTTGTTGGTCATGGGGCCTGAACTCTGGGCTCGAGCGCTGTCCCTCAGCTCTACAGCTCAAGGCTAGTGCTCTACTACCATTTGAGCCACAGTGCCACTTCCAGCCTTTTCTGCTTATGTGGTGCTAAAGAATCAAAACCAGGGCCTCATGCATACAAGGCAGGCACTCTACCACTGAGCCACCTTTCCAGCCCTGATGACAGTCTATTTATATACATACATAATAGTCTAAGGACAGTTTTCCAGATGTCAAATCACTGGGTCAATCCCTTTAAAGTATGCTATTACTTCCAAATTTTACTAAACTCCCTAGGTCACGTTCTCTCTGATTGCCACAAAAGTCAAGGTGGCTTTCAACTGAACCCAACAAAAATAAAGTTTCCAGAATGAAAGATTTCTCCTTTGCATGATGAGGCCAGGATATGTTACAAGCCCTGCAGCCTCTGCTCCAGAGCAAAGATGAACTTCCTGGAGCCCCATAGGAGCCTGCTGTCTGAGCATGCTGTCACCTCAGGGGACCTGCTTGTCCTGTATTCAAGCTTTAGGTTTATAATCTGGATTTTGCTTTGAGATATAGGTGTGTATTTTAATCACTTACCTTTTTTAATTCTTCTGATTACTTTCTCTTAATTACTTTCAGTGTTTTAAAAGGACAGCTGAAGTTCAGAAGTAAATAGGATAATTGAGGGTAATTCATATTGTAGATGGTAAAATTTGATGCATTTTTCCTCCTTTCTTCTTTATTGACACATTGATCTTTTTCTTACCAAAGAAAAAAAAGGAGTGACAGAGGTCTTTGTGTTTTCTAAAAGAAAAACCAGGAGCCACCCACTGGTAGTTCACACGTGTAACCACCCTAGCTACTCAGGAGGATGACCTCTGAGGATCGAGGTTCGAAGCCAGCCAAGGCAAGATGGTCCAGTTAACACTAGAAAACTGGAAGTGGTGCTGTGGGTCAGAGTTGTAGAGCACTGGGAAGGGGAAAAAAGCTTGGTGCTAGTGGATCATGCCTATAAACCTAGCTACTCATGAGGCTGAGATCTGAGGATCACAATTCAAAGCCAGCCCAGGCAGGAAGGTTCACAAGACTCTTATTTCCAATGAACCACCTGAAAACGGGAAGTGGAGTTGTGGCTCAAAGTAGTAGACACTAGGAGGCACTAGCCTTGAGCAAAAAGAGTTCAGGGATAGAGCCTGACCCTGAGTTCAAGACCCACAACTGACAAAAAAAAAAAAAGACAACTCTCTCATGGTTATGATACTTACACTGGAAAAGTTTTCGTTCCTATTTAAGTTGGCTAACTGCATTGGTTGAACTATTATTGGGCATATGATTTCTGTAATCTACATGTACAGTAGTTTCTCTTAAGGTCCAGAATAATGCAACATTCTTACTATCCTCAAGTGCCATGAAATTTTTTTTAATTGTATTTATTTTATGTAATTTTATTCATTTATTTTTGTCAGTCATGGAGCTTGAACCCAGAGCCTAGGCAGTCCCTTATCTCTTTCAGCTCAAGGTTAGCCTTGTCTACCACTTTGAGCCACAGTTTCACTTCCAGTTTTCTGCTGGCTCGTTGGAGATATTTCACAGTCTTTCCTGCCTGGGCTGGCTTCATACTGCCATCCTGAGATCTCAGCCTAGTAAATAGCTTGGAATGCAGGTGTGAGCCACCTGTTCTTGGCCCCATGCAAATTTTTATTTGGGCATCTTTAGTAATCTGTAAATGTGTAATTTGAGGTACCTATAAGCTAAGATTTTCAGTGGCACTGCCAAAGTTCAGCATAGACAATTGTGACTTTGCAGCTAAGATCACATACTTCATTCAGAGGTTGTAACTGCTATTACATTTTAACCATAAGAATCCCTTCTAGAAGAGAGGACCTGAGAAGATTGCGGGAACTTGAAATGATGGCATCTAGGGGACTAATAAAATGATAAAAGGGACTCAGGTAGTCATATATTTTCTTAAATATCTGAAAGTATGCAGGGGCTGTGGCACATGGCTATAGTCTTAGCTAATGGGAGACTGAAGCAGGAAGATCACTTGAGTCTAGAAATTAGAGGCCAACTTGGGTAGCATAGCAAGATGCTGCCTCAAAAAGAAAGGGTGGCAGGCTGGGAATGTGGCTTAGTGGTAGAATGCTTGCCTCGCATACATCAAGTTCTGGGTTCATTCCTCAGTACCACATAAACAGAAAAAGCTAGAAGTGGCGCTGTGGCTCAAGCAGTAAAGTGCTAGCCTTGAGCAAAAGAAGCTCAGGGACAATGCCCAGAACTTGAGTTCAAGCCCCAGGACTGGCACCAGAAAAAAGAAAAAGGAAGAAAAAAATCTTGACAGCTTCTCAAAGAGGATTGCATTGTTCTGAGTAGTCTCAGAGCTGAAGTTGAAAAGAAAAGCAGGTCTTAGAAGTGGTCTGGAGAAAGCTAGGGACTGGTGGCTCACACCTGTAATCCTAGCTATTCAGGAGACAGAGATCTGAGGATTGTGCTTCAAAGCCAACCCAGGCAGTAAAGTCTGTGAGACTCTTGTTTCCAATTCACCACCAGAAAACCAGAAGTGGTGCTGTGGCTCAAGTGGTAGAGCATTAGCCTTGAGCACAGAGACTCAGGGACAGCACCCAGGCTAGGAGTTCAAGCCCCACACTGATCCATAAAAAGTGGAGTCTTTGGCAATGGATAACAAGTATCCAAATGGAAAGTGTATGTAGCAGGAGGGAACTCAGCACCAAGCAAATATGTTTATCTCCAATCCTGCGAGCCTTTCTTACTGTCATCTTTCTTCTCTCACAGCTGGAACAACAGAGGCAGCAATTGCTTACTGAGCGCCAGAACTTCCACATGGAACAGCTGAAATACGCGGAGTTAAGAGCCCGACAGCAAATGGAGCAGCAGCAGCAGCATAGCCAAAACCCTCAGCAGCCACACCAGCACTCAGGAGGACCTGGCCTTGCCCCTCTTGGAGCAACAGGACACCCAGGCATGATGCCACATCAGCAGCCCCCTCCCTACCCTCTGATGCACCACCAGATGCCACCACCTCATCCCCCTCAGCCAGGTGAGAGGAAAGCATGGCTTACATTGAAAAGCTTGTGGTCTGCTTATTAGGGGGGGTTACCGTGCATGTGGTAATTTCTGAAGTCCTTTCAGAATTTCCATTGTCAGCAAGAAAATCATAGGCAAAGTCCAAAGTCCTCTTGGTGAGGTAGGTTAATGCTATAAAGAGGTACAGTCTTATAACTCGTTTATTTGTTTGTATGTTTTTGTCAGTCGTGGGGCTTGAACTCAGCCTGGGTGCTGTCCCTTAGCTCTTCAGTTCAAGGCTATCACTATCACTTGAGCCACTATGTTGCTTCTGGGTTTTGGGGTGGTTTATTAGAGATAAGAGTCTCACGGACTTTTCTGCCCAGGCTGGCTTTGAACCACGATCCTCAGATCTCAGCCTCCTGAGTAGCTAGGATTATAGGCATGAGCAACCAGTGCCCAGCCCGGGGTCTCATGCATGCAAGGCAAGCACTTTACCACTGAGCCACCTTCCTAGCCCCTTGTTTTGTTTTTTTTAAAGAACTTTTACCTTTTGGACTGGCTCCCATGGTTTATGCCTGTAGTCATAGCTATTTATGAAGTTGAGATATGAGGCTTTCAGTTTGAAACCAAGCTAGGTAAGAAAGTCTGTGAGATTCTTATTTCTCATTAACCACCAGAAGCAAAAGTGAAACTGTGGCTCAAGTAATAGAGCGCTAGTCTGGTGCATAAAAGCTCAGGAATAGTGCCCAAGCCCTGAGTTCAAGCCCCAGGACAAGCACCAAAAAAAAAAATTATCATTTAGAGGGTAGGAATATGACTTAGTGGTAGAATGCTTGCCTAGCATGCATGACACCCTCGGTTCAATTCCTCAGTGCTACATAAACAGAAAAGGCCAGAAGTAGTACTGTGGCTCAAGTGGTAGAGTGCTAGCCTTGAGCAGAAGAAGCTCAGGGACAGTGTTCAGGCCCTGAGTTCAAATTCCAGGACTGGTCAAAAAAAAAAATTTAGGGCTGGCTGCCAGTGGCCCACACATGTAATCCTACCTCTTCAAGAGGCTAGGCATGAGGGTTTCAGTTAGAAACCAACCCAGGCAGACAAATCCATGAGACTCTAATAACTTATATATATGTGTGTGTGGGCCTGGGCCTTGTCTCTGAACTGTTTTGCACAAGGCTAGTGCTCTACCACTTTTTGAGCCACATCATAACTTCCAGTTTTCTGGTGGTTAATTGAAGAAAAGAGTCTCACAGGTTCTTTTCTGCCTGAGCAGCTTCCAACTGTGATCCTAAGGTCTCAACCTCCTGAGGAGCTAGGATTGCAGGTGTGAGCCACTGGCACCTGGCTAATGATATATTTGTATCAGTTCCTTTTCACCGTTGGGAAGGAGATAGATTTCAGAATGTCTCATCAGCCAAGAGAATGTTACTTATTAAATAACTATCATCATACCAAAGAAAATAATCATAATCCCTAATATCGTTAGTTAAATGTCTGAGTACTTTGTTTGAATCCGTATTCAAATAAGATCCACACACATGCATTCACATCTCTTTTGTTAAAAGGGCACTTACATGTTAAGGAAAATGCAGTTTTCAGTAATGCAACTGTGCCTGATTTATGCTCTACCTTGGAGTTGTACCCTGTGCGGAGCTCATATCCCCTATACCGTGTCTGTGTCTGTCTGTGTCTTCTGTGTCTGTGTGTATTTCCTCCCATAGTATTACATCACTTGTCCTGTATCTCCATCCTCCCTCCGAGCCCACCCACCTTCCCCCCTACACACACACACACACACACACACACGCATGCACGCACGCGCGCGCGCGCGTCCCAGAATCAATCTAGGTACTGCTCTTATAACAATTGTCCAGAAGTAGTTTGATACATGTCCTGGGTAGGATACAGTCTACTCAGGATTGGTGGCTCTACCATTTGAGCCACATCTTCAGTTCCAGCTGTTTGCTAGTTAATTGGAGATGAGAGTCTATGGATTCATCTTCCTGGATTGCTTTGAACTGTGATTATAGATCTCAGTCTCCTGAGTAGCTAAGATTATAGGTGTGAGTCACTCATGTCCAGCTGGTATTCAGTTCCTTTTTGGTTTTGAGGCTTTTTTGGTTTATTGTTGTTTTGAGGTGGGGGGGGGGGTTGTTTGTTTGTTTGTTTTGTTTTGTTTTTTGCTGGTCCTGGGACTTGAACTCTGGGCATGGACACTGTCCCTGAGTCTCTTTGTGCTCAAGGCTAGCAGTGTACCACTTGAGCTACAGTGCCACTTACAACTTTTCCTGAATAGTTTATTAGATGTAAGGACTTTCTTGCATGGACTGGCTTTAAGCCACAGTCCTCAGATCTTAGCTTCCTGGGTGGGTATGATTATAGGCATGAGCCATAGCTGCCTGGCTAGTATTTGGTTCTTAATGGTGGTGCCATATCCACAGTACCTGTTCACAGAGAACATCTAAGGAGCTACAACATTGAGCTTAGAGCTGAATATGGCTTGTGTACCCCTGTAATGCCAACAGTCGAGAGGCTGAGACAGTAGGATTGCCAGTTCAAGGGCCAGCCCAACATAAACAGTAAGTTGTGGCACACTGTGCACACATGAGACTCTAGTCTTTAAAAAAAAAAGCCTGATAATATGAATTAGGCTCATCACCCACATCATTTCACTTCTTGTTAATATCTTTGCTTCATATTTGAAGACCTAGTGCATGACACAGCCATATAGCCTAGCTTCCTGTCAGAGCCAGGATTCACACTGAGCTCCATCTGATTTCATAGAGAAGCCAGAGCCACAGAGGCACTATGGCAGGGCTGAGGTAAAATTTTCAGCAGACTTGGAAAGAACTATTTTCCTAGTGAGGCAGTGCCAGCAAATTAACTGATAAAAATAGCCTTTAAAAAAGAAATAGGTCACTTTCTTCTTCACGCTCTCTACAAGATAGGGTCTCCACATTGAATTTGTAATAGAAAGAATCATTCAGGGTAAGGCAAGGTCTTTTTAATACATGACAAAATATTCTCTTATATTTGAGAGATACATACGGAAAAACATAAATCATAGGTAGTTATTGACTATATAAACACCTAAGTAAACCAACACTTTGCCCTACAATTTCCCCACTTCTCAAAGTATGTGTCTTTTGACTTTCAACCCTGTTCACACTAGTTGGGCTGAATTTCATTGTTATCTGAATAGAAGAACATAGTGAATTTCCTCTGTCTGGTTCCCACACTCAACACCATATATAAGACGTGTGCACTGTGTAAACGATTTGTACATTTGTTTTCTGTTACAGCATTTCACTGCATGTCTGTGCCCTACTACACCAATCCATTTCCCACTGATGAACACACACCCAATTTTCAAGCTTTCAACTAAATAGTGTGTCTGTGACCATGGTAGGTAGGACATAATGTACACATTCTGTTATATGTATCACTAAAGGAATAGAATTGGGGTATGCCTGAGGATGGTCCAATGGGATACATATCTTGCATATATTTACCTCTCTAGTCTCTGGCTGACATAGGTGTAAGAATTACAAGCAGTGATTCATGCTTGTAATCCTAGCTACTCGGGAGGCTGAGATCTGAGGATTGCATTTAAAGCCAGCCTGGGCAGGAAAGTCTATGACACTCTTATCTCCAATAAACCTCCAAAAAACCGGAAGTAGCACACTGTGGCTCAAGTGGTAGAAGGCTAACCTTGAGCTGAAGAGCTGAGGGACAGCGCCGAGGCTCAGGAGTTCAAGCCCCATGACCAACCAAAAAAAAAAAAAGAATTACAATCAGGTCCTCCAAACAGTGTTTATTACATTTTAGAAATGAATAGGAGCACTCTCTGCTCTTTTCTAGCTTTTTCCTTCTCTTTCCCAGCTCCCTTCTCTTTTCTAGCTCTTTCTCTGCTCTTTTCTAGCTCTTTCTCAGCTGTTTCCTTCTCTTCTCTTTCCCAGATCTCTTCTCTTTCCTAGCTTGCTCTTTCCCACCTCTTTCCCAGATGCTCTCTTTTCTAGCTCTTTTCTCTTTTTTCTAGCTCTTTTCTCTCTCTTCCCAGCTCTCTCTCTTTCCCAACTCTCCCAGCTCTCTTTCCCAGGCCTTTCTCCACCACATGGAGGACCAAAATGGCATGGTGCCAGCCGGGACAATGAATAAACCTACCCCTTACCTGGGGGGGGGGGGAAATGAATAGGAGCAACGTTTTCCTTAGTTGCTGAGCAATTGTCCTAGATAGTTGACCAGGTCAGTTAGCTAGGATTTTGATTTTCACTTACATTTTGTAGTGTAGGAAGAGACAGGAAGAGTCAGTCTCTGAATGATAGCATTATCAGGGAAGTAGCAGGGGAAGGATCAAGGCAGATTTATTGTTGAATGATGAACTTGTTCAGATTTTCTTGCTCTGTAGAATTTATATAAGTATGTGATTTTTCTCTGCAAAACTGTATCAGGTAGTGATAGAGCCCATTCAAATAGCAGGTTGGTATTCTACATCGTGGGTGGAACTGGGACATCAGTAGCTAGTGTTAAATGGCAACTGTACGTATTCCATTTGATTTGTCTCTTTTTTTCCTCATTCTTAACCTTATTTTCATTCAAGTACTTGGGATTTTCACAGAAAACCCTTATGTACACTTTTGTCTCTTTCACTATTATTTGGTTGTACTCTTTTTTTTTTTTTTTTTGGGGGGGGGGGGGGCCAGTCCTGGGGCTTGAACTCAGGGCCTGGGCACTGTCCCTGAGCTTCTTTGCTCAAGACTAGCACTCTCCCACTTGAGCCACAACACCACTTCCATTTTTTTCTGTGCATGTGGTACTGAGGAATCAAACCCAGGGCTTCATGCATGCTAGGCGAGCACTCTACCACTAAACCATGCTCCCAGCCCCTTCATCGTACTCTTAACTTACCTGCAAACTCCAGCTGTGTGTATATGTTTGTGTGTGCATATTTGTGCTGCGCACGCATGTGTATGTGTGCACACGTGCGCCTCTGCACCAGTCCTAGAACTTGAACTCTGCCTGCATGATTTTTTT